CACTCGGGAGGGTAGCGCTGTGCTGTCCTACCCGTTTCAATTCCATGCCTCCTGCGTTCTCCTGTCTCCGCGCTTTTCATCATGGTGGCTGCCGTTCTTCCCAGATTGGTCATGGATTCCCCCTCTCATTGTTCTGTAGTTAAGCCTCTTTTACATCCGATTAAATTGTTCTCAAGGCGAGTGCATGGCGTCGGTCTGAATGACCTGGTCATAAGCGAGTAAGCTCGGGATTAACCGTTCTGGTGACAGGATTAATCCTGCAGTTTGAAAAAAAGTTGGGAGCTGTTCAATTTTTTTAAGCCAAAAGTAGGCCAGGAGTTATGCATTATAATCCGACAATTCCAGGAAAACTGATGATTTTCCTCATCGAATATCAAACCGCCAAAGGTCCGGTTTGATTTTATGTTTTTGAAAGTTTGCAATCCTATTATTTTCGGCTTAGAGGTTCCAGTTTATCGATTTTGAGGGGTAATTCCGGATTATGTCCATTTTATTATGTGTGCATGGTCACTTATGATCTCGATTCGATGACTGTATATAAGCAAAGTTGAGTTCTAGACGTCTGCAAATTTACAAATATTTCCGATTTTTGAAGTTTTTTACAAATCAGAACATTAGAATTTTTAAAAAAATCATCTAGTGTAAAAGACTGCCATTCATTAATTGAGTCACGTGCACTGGAAAAAAACACATCGTATCTAGAGTCCAGACTCTTGAAAACATTGACAAGAAAAAAGAATTTTGATTCAATCAGATTTAAGCTTAAATCAAAAGGAAATCCGCTCAAATTAAGAGGCTTGGTTCTTGATATAAGCTTAAATCTGATTGAATCAAGAGTATTTTTCTTGTTGATGTTTTTAAGAGTCTGGACTCTGGATCCAATGTGGTTTTTTTCCAGTGCGTCTCAAAAATTGCCCCAACTCTATGTGGGATAGAGAGGTAAACCCAGAAAAACAACAAACACTGAATTTAGCCAGACATTTTAGAGGAATGGAAAAGATATTCTTGGGGCCTTTTATTTCGTTCCAAAAAGGAGTGTTATAGCCATAAATATGAACATTATGAAATATAAAAATGACAAATGAATGTCGGGGTGAGCACTTTGCTAGGAAATATTTTGCAAATTAGGTTAGATTTCCTAATCCAATTGATCCTTTGGCCATAGGTACTTATTGGGCCTATTAGAGCGTAAAACAAGTATACTCTATATCGAGAAGATAGCAGAACGGAGTCTGCGAACTTTACAATTTCTGTCTACAGTGGTTATCTCCAGATGGATTTTCCAAGATGAGGGGCATTTTCAGACACAACGAGAAACACTGCGGAAGGCTCTGACGTGCACATCGAAAAGGAAACAGAAGTAGCGCGTAAAGCGAGTTCACTGCCCCGGGAATTTATCTTCTCAGCTCATTAAAATTAATCACTGCTCAAGTGACCACCGCGGTTACAATCCTAGCGCCAATTATCCGTGATTTTCAATAGGCTCAATACGCACGCAGGTGATCATAATTACACGGTCGAGAATTTACGTATGGATTGGCCCACCTAGTTGGGCGAGAAAATCTAAAAGTCAGAACTCATTTGAAGAATGGAAGTTAAAAATAAATCCAGTATTGGTAAGCAGAGGACCATCCACTGTAACGTGTTATAAACCATAGTTTCACATCGAGCCATTGGTATAAGTAAAAATTTTCAAGAGGCAGTCCGTGACAATGGTATCATGAAAAACATAAAGGGGTAAAAGTTTGGGAAAGTGGGGGGGGGGGGCTCAGTTTTGAGTCGGAACGTCTCGTTCCCTTGTTTCTTATGTCACGGGTATATACGTGGAAAAAAATTCATCACGTGAATGATTGGCCACGCTATTTGGTGCTTATAACGGTACTTCTCAATTCATATAACCGTGCTTTGCTTCATATGACCAAACTTTTAAACCGAACTAACCTGTAAAAATAGTTCTGTATTATGAAACTAACTGTATGAAGAGCTTTGGTGAATGGTTTGAGGATACTATTACCAAAACCAAGAGTACGGTTACACGATTCGTATAATGTGGCCGCGATAGTGCACCGAACTCTGGTCCAAATAACCAAATCTTTCCGGTGTATCTGACGAGAAAACTTGATTTCGAAACTGGCTCTCGTGAAAAGGGGAGCCAGGGGGAGGGGTGTCACTGAAATAGACGAGTAGGGATACGTAAAATATTCTGCTGATATCAGTTGGATTTTTACTGATTTCAGTTGAAGATCCGGTTTCGAAACTGCTAATGGTCCACTAGACCAGGTACGAATTTTAGAATTCTGATACATGTTTCTTAAGCTTGTGCATTCACTTAAGTAACACTTCACGTCTACAGTCTTGTTAGCGCTAATATGCGTTTCACGCCAACTGACCGACTGCACTGCTTTCGGCGCAATGCGAGAAGTATTCGTGCAGTCTTGTAGGCGCTAATAAATGTCACGCCGACCGGCCTGTTTGGCCTCCAGTCTTGCAGGCGCTATAATATACGTCAAGTGTCGGTCGCACTCTGTTTGGCTCGATCATTCGAACTTGCGTTAGAATAATCGCGCCATCGAAAAGTGGGGCTTAAAGAGCCAATATTGTGTCTCGACGCCGTATGAACACTCCAACGTTGCCTCGTTTCTCCCGATAGAATATTTTTTCCGAGTAAAGTTAAAAGAGTTCTCTAGAGTTCGCTTTTTTAGATAGAATGGACCATTAAACAAGTACGAATTTAAGCATTCTGGTGTATGCTTCCTAATTAGAATTTCACGTAGGAAACGATTCTTGCATCGAAATTTACTAAAACCAACTCCTAACTAAGATATTACCGTTTTAATTTTACATTGGTTACGGATAATTTGAATTGCCCGATCACGAGAAACACAATACTCTAAGTGAGTCGCAAATCGCGCACTATAAGGGGTTTTGGCAGGCTTCTCGATCAAACACTGTTCATTTTCCACCGTTTATGGTTCAAAGTGTAAACAATTTGCTATAGCTGAGCCAAAGCGTCAATATTGAGGTTGCCATATTTTCACACCGCAGAGACTGACGCGGTAACGTTATTAATTCGCGATCTGACATTCGTAGACCATTGTGTTTTCATGAGCGGGAGGCTTGAAATCACGCGTCAAGAAACATTAAATATCTTGATTAGGGATGAATTTTAGTAATTTTTGTTGCACGAATCTTGCCCTACGTTAAATTATTGTTAAGAAACATGTATCAGAATGCTTAACTTCATACCTTGTCTAGTGGTCTATTCCCGCTCATGTTTGATTTTTTAGAAGAAACCAGCAATAGCTTATTTTGAACTGTTCTGCGAGTTTTCCACAGTTTATCGTGACATTTAATCTCATGACGTATTGCAACGGGGCGCTTGCATATACATCCATAAATGAACAAAAAAATAGGTTGTCTTATGAAACTTATCATTTTTCTTTCACACGATGAAGCGGTTTTTGATTCTCATTCCTTCATTTCTACATAGGAGTACTTATTCTCTCTTGAAATAATCAATACCTCGCTATTTCCAAAAATTCACTTAACGTGTTCCTGTTCCTTTGCTGGAACCTTAACTTTGAACTGCACCCTTGTGCGTGACAAAGTATTCTGAAGGAGAGAAACAACAACTGAAACAAGGGGAGCGAGAGAGTAAACAAGCAGTAAGCTCCAACGCATTCGCGTCGGAAAGCGGCTCTGGCGACGGTAGTTGTAGTCAAGAATGGCTCCATTTAAAAATCAAAACAATATCGAATTGCGATATATTACACGGATAAGATAGGGCTATGTCCTGTCGTAAGCGGCGATAAAGAGTCGATGTCATTTCAATAATCGCCCCGATGGCCACGATAGTTGTTAAACGTTTACGGTTTCCTTGGTAACCTTTGTTTGCTATCAGCTGATATCGAGTAATATGCCTAGGAAGCTCCAACCACTGCATTCTTCCAAAAAACCGCGAAAACTTTAAAATTCAAAATTTCAAATTTTGAACGTAAAGTACATTTTTTCCATCACGAGATTAAAGCACAGACAAGTTTTGAATTATTGACTGTATCACCATGATTCCAAAAATACACTACACAACATAGCATTGGCTAACAATAAAACAATATGCAATAAAATAAAGTCAAGACAAGGTACATAGTCGAAAATGGCGCCGATTCCCATCAACCAACGCGCGGTCTCTCCAATGTAACATGGTCCATTGATACTCCCCAGCTGGGACCGTCCGGAATAGCAGCTCTAGTGCAAGCACCAGAGCCGCTAAAAACAGCTGTTTTCCCAGATACTAGCATTAAAAATATGTAAATTTAAACTTTTCACAATTTTTTTTTTTTTTTAATGTTGCCTTTTCGTACATTGGAACTTGATTGAACTTGTAAAATCGTAAAAGTTAAAATGAGTACACAGTACCCAATATAAATATAACGCTTAATAAACGTATAGGAAGATCTTTTTACGAGGTTATCTTATTCGATAATTTTCACAAGTTTCAAAAAGTAAGCAAAAAAATACATTTTCAATTAAATTTGTTAATAATATGTTTACCGTCTCGTTCTTTCATAGATCTTGCAATTATTTCCTCCTACATCAAGCAGTTTGACTCATTTTCAGCTAGCCTTCTGAGTGACATCGAAAACCTCATGTTTGAAAAGCGCCTTCAAAAAGGAAAGAGACAACTTCTCATACGCGCCTGAGTTTGGACGATAGAGGGTACTAACACAACTTAATCCTAGTTGGCGGGTGAATAGCGAATCAGTTATCGTCATCATTGCTGTTTAAAAAGTCTAGGTACGTGTAATCATAAGACTATCACTTCATTAAATAAAATATAATAATAGTAAAAAAGCGCTGACATTTATTTATTATATTCTCAGGGCTGCAAAGGCAATTTTTCCTCTTTGCTTTCTATATGTTTATCCGTATCTGTTGTGTGCAACAGATCCATTGACATAAAAAGAAATAAATTATAAGCACATAATAATGAAACCAAGAAATTGTAGTAAAGAACTTTGAAAAATGGTCTTTGTATTGCTTGAATCCATAAAGTTACAGTAAATTTTTATGCGGTGAAAACAGGTGCAATTTGAGCAAATAAAACGCAACAAAGGCGGAAATATTAATAACGCATCAACGAATGGAACTTATGACGAATGTATAAGCTAAGTGGTATAAATAACTGGGCATAAACTGACTCCGATTTCAGAGAATAGACTATTCGCTTAGTTTTGCTATGTTAGTTACTGATTATTTAAGAAACAGTTTCGTGACAACTTAGTTGGTAACTTTTCTGTTCATCGAAAAAAAAAAGAAATATCAGACTAAACATGCCGTCATTCGAAAAAAAATCGACATGAAACTAGATGCAACATGAAAAATATAAGAATAATGCTCAACTTTAAAAGCTGTTAAATTTCATGACTTTACGCGTTTCTGAAATCTGACCCAAACATCATAGGGAGTGTGCAATCCAGGTTTAGGATCGTATTTCAAGGGTATTGATGTTTTCTCGCACGTGTGAATCGTGTAGTTGCTGACTATGTATGATAGGACCGATTTCATCTCGTACATTGCGAATCGCATACCTGAAAAGTGAATAAAGTGACATGTAGTAACGATAAGATATATTTACTTTCTTAGCGATGCTCTAGCTGCTTTGGCTGCACGTGGGTACGGTAAAAAAAAAGAGAAAAGCATATAAAATCTGTATGTTTTTCTCAAAAGAAAGAAAAAAGAAAAGGTGAAAATAGAGATTTAATGCATCGAAGCCTTGAGCATTGAAGTTATCGTAGCTTCGATAAATCGAATAATTCCGTACGAAAAAAAATACGGTGAATTTATTGTACTCTCGAGAACGTCTAGGTAGTCAATCTATTACTCAATAATATCTAGGTTTTAAGATACACTTGCGAAAATCTCTAAAGGCTATATCACATATTACGCCGTAGTGCGTCAGGTTTTAATATGTAAAATCGAATAAGGAAATGTTCCGAAATAAATTTAAAAGTACATCCACAGTGAATAACAAAATTTCTTTTTTTGAATATGGTCCGCGGTATTCACTCAATCTGTACTTTTGGAGTTGCCTCATCGTATTTTCTAATGAAACATGCAAATTTAAAGTGATTCGATGGACGCCATATTTTGTGTCAGAACGGCATGCGATATATCGCATCAATTGGTTCCATTTTTTCAGCTACTCGTCATTTTTCTCCAATTTTGAGATCGCAATTCTGTTGTCAGGAGACTAAAGCACTCACTTACCAATTTTAACAAAGAAATGTAACGTAATAAATGCGTGGTTTTTTCAGACAGAATATATCGCATTCGAGTGCAGTTTCGATATCAGTATCGACTGCGATGTTTTTCTCTCTAAAAAAACCACGCCTTTATTACGTTGAATTTCTCTGTTAAAATTGGTAAGTGAGTGCTTTAGTCTCCTGACAACAGAATTGCGATCTCAAAATTGGAGAAAAATGACGAGTAGCTGAAAAAATGGAACCAATTGATGCGATATATCGCATGCCGTTCTGACACAAAATATGACGTCCATCGAATCACCTTAAGAGAAAACCGAGCCTTAAAATTTTAAAACTTACCGATGCATATCCGGGGTCCATCACCAAACGGTAAGTAAGAGCCGGGTACGATGTTGTCCTTGTTTTCTCCGATGAACCTCTCTGGTTTGAATTTTTCTGGTTCCGGAAAGTATTTTGGATCATGATGAAGAGCGTAAATCGAAACAAATAAGTTGACCCCTTCTTCAACAACGACTGAGGTGTTCGGTAGTTGGGTCGTCTCAGTGCAACGTCTTGCCAGAACAGAAGCAACTGGGTATTTTCTCAGAGTCTCTAAAAATGAGAAAAAAAGAGGAAAATTATGACTGAGAATGCAGGTACGTTTAACAGTCTGTTGAACACGGTTGACACACCCTACTGAGTAAACTTTACGTAAGTAAAGTAGCACAAAAAGCATGCGCCCTTAAGTAGTCCACCATTTGACGAGCGAGGAGCGTCATGTAGCCTTTATAGTTAGCCAATCGAGGGATTTGGAGGACAAGGCGCATACCTAAGTGCAGTTTTCGCTATTTTGAGAAATACGTGTTTAAATTTTCGAAATTACATGGGTCCTTAAGGCGGAATGAAAGTTCAAACTGACTTTTTAATGCTTAAAAATTGGAATTTGGCTGCTTATTTTTAACAGAATATGCATGAAGACTATAGTTTTACTTGAAACACTAATACCTCAATTTTTTTTAAAAAAAAAGCGCTTATGCGCCTTGTCCTCCAAAACCCCTCAATTAGAGATGGTTCTCGTGGTGATATCCTTTGTCCACTCTCTTGGCACAAAGGTTGATAAGTTTTGCAAAATATCATTCTGGTATGAAGAGAGGAATTAAGTGATGCTTATCGCCCTGTTTGTTGCAGAGCAATTTTTATTTCTCGGAGAAAATAGAGACACCTAACCTCTATGGATTAAAATTAAAACCTTCAGCAAAGATTTTTGAATATTCTGGTACCCACCTGAAATAACAGCATCCATGTAAACGAGCTCTTTCAGGGCGTCGTAGTCCAAATTTTTACTCCGTCCTTGTCTCACAGATTCCACCTCATCTCTCAGTTTCATGAGAATATCTGGGTGTAAAGCAAGCTCGTACAGACAGTGACTGAGTGTAATGGCTATTGTCTCATACCCAGCAATGAAGAAGGTAAATGCATTCGAGACTACAACACTGTCAGTAAATAGGATGTCTGGAAAGATGAACAAAGCAAAAAACTTAATTTTTTTCGAGGTTTCATGGCAAGGTCTTCAAACTAGTAATATATTTTGACTCTCATTGTAAATAGTTTTTAATTTAATCTTAACGGTTTCACCTGTGTAAGAATTTTGGCGATAGAAATATGTAACTCAATAAGTCAAACAGTTACTCGCTGTTCTAATTAATTTTGAAAATCGACCAAATTTTTAAACCCTTTAGCTTTTACAGACGCATCAGAATTTCAAATGTCTCTGAAAGTAGGCACGTCGATCTCCATTTCAATTGACTTGAGATGAAAAGGAGCATTTACAAAAATAAATAAACATCGATTTAATAGTAAAATAAGAAAACACGAGCTAAAAATACAGCTAAACTAAAATTTGACAATTTATGTACCTTTCTGTGTTTCAACAAATCCATTTTGAATTTCATTTGTAACTGTATCCTGATCGTTGATGTTTTGCTTTTGTTTAATCTCTTCTGCTTGAATATCGATCAGAACTTGCAAGAAATCACTCCTCTTGTACGTATTCGATTCTCTATGCCTGACAGCGTCCTTAAGGGCCGTCCAGAAAAATTTCATAACCTAAAAAAATAATAAAAATTCAAAAACACACAAAAATTAAGATCCATCGGTAATTGACGATTTTTGCTAAGCAGGATTTTCCCTCGCAAATAGACTAGAGAGAATTCTCTAATTAACCTTAGTCGAACATTAACACTGATCAAATGCCAAATGACACCCAGTCTTGGTGATGTTATTTCTATTAAATCTTCTCTCCTGCATCCTTAAAAAGTTTGGCAGAAGCCATGCAGGCATTGGGTTTGTGGAACGTTCAAGGAAAGTGTTCGTCAAAATGCTTCTACTGATTTTAAACGCGTTCGAAATCGATTCGTTTAATCTAGAAAAACGCCCGCAAAACTCATTTTTGTTTTTATCAAAACGATCTATTCTAAAATACTCTCAAACGGTAACTTTTTGTATGCTTGTTTATCAAAACGACGCATACTTAAAGTCCATGCCCAATAAGCCCCTGCACTTTTTGACTGCGACACAAGATCCACCATCTTGCTTCTTGCATTTATTTTCTATGCTAAACTGGCGTCAAAACGATCTTCTGTCGCAGTGTAAAGTTGCATAATTTATTTAGCGTTGGACTTCGTCCACTATTTTTTGTAGTTCCATCATCTCAACTTATTTTATTTCCTGTATTTTATTATTTTTTCCTGTCTCGAGAGCTCTTTTGTCTGGTTTCATTGCATACAATGCAAAAATGAGGCATAACATACTGCCGTGCTGAGGAAGACCGCCGTATGAACATTCGAGAGTTGTCAAATAGCCCCGGACAAAACATGTATTTTTGAAAGAAATTATACGTATTTCTCTTTGAAATTTTCAGACATTTTAGACACATTTTCGAACAAAATTGTCTGAAAAATTGAGGAAAATTATTCAAAATTTTCTTAAATAAATTATGTTTTTGTTGAAGAAAATATGGCAACGTCTGAAGGCTCATACGGTGTTCCTCCTTATTAAGGCAGCATAATAGAAGGCACATTACTTCTGGATTGGATTCTCCCAGTCCGATGAGTTTTGTGAGAGTTGGTGATAAACTCCTCAGCAAAACCCGAATGTGCATTCTTAGCGTAGTTTTGGTGAAGATTCGGCCAATTCGTCTGAACTCAGAATTTTCGTCTCGGATTGAGTTGCAATTGAGACCAAAGGCGCAAGCACCGATGACGTCAGTCGTGAATTTGGCCATGATCTCCCGTACATTCAGCATGGAGTTCTTGCAGTCATCATCCAAGGCCTTGTTCAGGTAATCTGCCAGTTCGGAGATGCATTCCTGCATCAATCCTTGCATGGCCCTCAATTTGCCCGAGCTGAAAGCCGGTGTCAACTTGTATCGCACGTTCCTCCAGCTGTTAATCAAATAAGGCTTTTGAAATAAAATTAAGGGCGTTAAAATCTGCACAAATAGAGTTTAAACTTTGTTATGATTTCGGAGTTCGATTTATTTTGGTTTTCGTAATTATCTACGAAAAAATACGCCATAGACTGATCTTTATAAGGTGAAATAAATTATTATCTTTCATCACTTTCAGGTACCTACATCATAATTATATAATGCAATTTTGGTTTATTTCTAAAACTAAATTTTTCATGTTTTTAGTTAAATTTAATGTAATTGAACAACTTCTAATCCAATGGCTTAAATAAGAATGTTTAGTTTTGGGTACTTATTTTCTCGTTTTGAGAATTGATTATGAAATTGATTATGAAACTCCGAGGCTTCGGTAAGAAGCAACCGAAGTTTCCGGATGTAGGAACCAAACTCTGGTTCGGGTAATTGAAGTATTTGGTAAGTATTTCCTGAACCGAAAATGTCGGTGTTTCGTATGAATTAAAATTGTATTAAAAAACCACCATCTCTCTCTCGATTTCGAAACAATGCAATTGCCTGCATTTTTTGGCTATGGATAGGTGATTTTATCGATCAACCAGAAATAATGGTTCTCTCGTGAGCCGAAGCATGATTCTTTACGTGGGGAAAAAAAAGGAAAAACTGTAATGAATAACACCAACCGTTGTCCTGTCAAATTAAGTAGATTCGGTGAAAAAAAACTCAATTCCTCGATTTTTTGGGCATTGCGGTCGTGAAAATAGGAGAAGTTCTTCACAAATATACTCCGGATTAATTCTGGATCTCGAATCATGAGCGCTGGGTTTGTCATCTGGTAAAATCCGCCAAATTTATGGCCGTCGAGTTCATTGTAAATTCGTTGGAAAACAAAAGCTAAGGGTACACGTCGGAGGACCAAATCTCTCGTGTTACCGAAGAGAAAAGAGATCGACTTGGAGCATGGCACACCCCGCCTCTCCCAATAAGAGTACTTTTTTCGAAGATAGTACACAATGGAAAGTGCTAAACAAGAGACGAGTAACAGGACACTCGTCATGGAAGACAACGAATTCAGAACCGGGAACAGAGGCATGTTGTACCTGTAAAAAACCCAAAACGCGTTAATATACGCGTTACAAAATCATATTTACACCATTGAAAAAAGTTGTATCCCATTTACATCCCGAAGATGACACCCAGTCCTTTCGAGTCAAAATGGACGAAATTTAAATTAATCTGACCCTATACTGTAAATTTATACGTCACGGGCAATTAGTCAAATCCGGCATTTGATCGAATGCCTGGGCAGATAGTCAAATATTGACAGTTTACAAAATGTTGTAAATTAATGGCGAGCTCTTGAGTTTTTGATATTTTGGGGGAAAAAAATCATTAAATTTATGAATTTTTCTTGTTTCTTCCTCTTCAAATGCTTCTTAATTTAAATGTTAAAATTTTAAATATTCTATGTTTTGAGACATGCTGATAATTTACTTTGAAATGAATGTTCATTCAGGAACTAAAAATCTATTAAAATATTATTGCCTGATCCATATTTTTACGGAGGGATCTTTTTACTGGAGGAATCAATTATTTTGCTCAAAATTAGGAAAAGAATCAGAGTTTCATTCTACGTAAGAATATTTGACTATTAGCCTAGGCATCTGACAAAATGCCTGATTTTACTATTTGCCTGCGACATAATACCTCTCTGGTTGGCCTTAAAATAACTTTAATTTACTCCAAATTACTTTGATTTATTTGAGGAGCTTGGAGGATCAACGCATAAGTGGAGTTTATGTTATGTTATTTTTTTTTTTTTTTTTTTTTTTTTTTTTTTTTTTTTTTTTTTTTTATTTAAGGAACGTACATTGTTATAATTGGGAAGGCTAAATTTACTTCAGTGCAAGTGTGATATAATCAACATATTTGAGAAGATCAGGCAAAAAGACCTTGACCTTATGCTTAAGGCATGAGCGCTGACAAAAAGACTGTTTTTCTCTGTGGATTCGACTAGGTGCTTTCTTACCATCCAGAAAAAAAGGCTTTGCAACTGATATGACGTATTCTGAGTGATCACTTACCATCAGATTGTCGTAAAACTGCAATTTGAACACAATATACAATACTTAGAGAAATAAATTTTTAACTGTTCTGTTTCGTTGAATTGCACTCCTGGAGGAAAGAAGCAAAACCACGGTTACGTGGTTGGAGGGAGTATTATAACTGAATTATTATCAATCGTTGAGAGGCTCTGAATTTTAGCAAAATAAATTGGCACTCATTGAGTGTAAAAAATAATCTCCAGTCTCTCACACCAAAGGTCACTTGATGAAGATAACTTAATTTTTATGTATTTTAATTGAGGTACTTGATATGAAAAATACATTTTGGCGCGTATACGTAGTATACCGCCTTTGCGATCGTTTCGAACCCTGCTCGATACAATAACCGAGTCCTTTAGTTCCTTACCGAAAAGTGACTACCGCGAACTTCTGAGATTTTCCAAAGCGTGTAAAAAGTTTATTTATCCATCAATAATTATGATTTAAAGTTGTTTCTCATTCTGGGGGTCGCTAGTTTATGTGCAGTGAATACCAAGAGTCTAAGTTACTTGGTTTTTTTAAAAAAAGCCTAAGAATGCGACGCGCTGATTTAAAATATGCATATATAAGCAGAATCAAGCGAATTGATTCGAGGATGGCTGAGCAGGTCGGCACTCTCGGAATGAGAATCTAACTCCTCCGTTTTGTTCAAAACGTTGCTTTGACAGATCTGTAACCTCGGTTATACTTTTCAAAAGTTGGTACCCGTGCTCTGAAAAACCCAAATAAGCCAAGTTCGTGTAACTATGGTGTCGTTGCCTCGACCGGGCTGTGCTGTGTTGCCAATTGTTGGAGGATAGGTTACTTGCCCGGTGGTGGCTACCGCCACTCATGATAGTGCAATCTGTGTAAGTGCAATCTGTGATGAGCCTCGAGACTCATTAGACCATTAGCTAAACGTGGCTCATACAGGAATCCACTTACCCCTCTCTTCCCCACGCTCCTGATCACTGCGTCGGCGTCTCGACGAACAATAGCTAATGACGGTCGCCAAGCGAGGCCGGGATCCTCAGCCCCTCGCCCAATTACTTACGCTTCATTAACCATTTCACCGTCACGCTAGGATTCGTCCAATTTTAAAAAAAAATTGTTTCGCGAGTTTTTAGCAATTTTTTCCTTACTTTCCGTTAAAACACGAATTAAAAGAGGTCTCATTCATAAAAATCGGCCAAATAGAAGAGAAGTTACAGTATTCGAAATCCGAAGAAATCAACAAAACTTCTCCAAACAAAAAATAAAATGAAGGGGGAAAAAAAGAAATGTATAAATTACAATTTAATATGATTGACCTCAGAATGTGACAAGCAATTCAATTATAAAAAGGAGAAAAAATTGAGTGAAATTACAAAAAATTAGCCTCTTGCAAGGGGCTTTCTTGTATGAGTTTTGACCTGAAGACAAGTAAATCCCGTTATATTATTAAAACGAAATTGACTCCATAGTTTAATGCCTTAGTTTCTTGAATACGATTATTTTAAGCACTCGAAAATTTATACCAGCAATTTTACCCATGGGGTGATTTCCTGAGAGCTGATAATATCACGAATTTCTCATAGAGCCCTTCAAAAATGGCTTGCTTTTTGGGCAGCCGATTCGGCCATCAAACCGGGGTTTAAATGGAAGCTGATAATAACACAAAGCTCTGAGAAAAATTTTGAGATGAGTATAGGAACGGTTTGTAAATTACGAGGAGAGGCGGGCATTCTGTTCAGCATATCGATACATAAGTATTTTCACACGTAGAATTTAATTTTCACGTCAGGGAGTCGACATATTTTGATTTTTTTTATTTTATACGGAAAATTTATGGTTTTTCGGGATTGAAATTACTTACAATTGTTTCATGAAAAATGAATGCACCCAAAATGACTATAGCATTTTGACTTTCACATACGTGCACTCACTAAATTGATTGGTAAATTCAAAGAGTGGGTACATCGACCTGGTATATCAAGTTTCTGCGATTTTTTACGGCAAATCGGTAGATTTTCGGGATGTGGATTGCTTACTTTCAATTCATGAATGAATAAAGCATGGACATGGTTGAGCTTCTTTGCATGAAAAGACGTTTAAAATAACAAAATCAAGACATATTTAAGACAATTGCATTTATATCGAGTCAATTTCTTTTCAATAATATAACGGGATTTATAATACCGGTGATTTGGGTATTTTAGCCCCAAAATACCTTTAAATCGACTTTATCTTCTAGGAGTTCGACAGAATTTTTCCTTTCTTCGCTTAAATTTTTCCGTAGCACTTTTCTTCAAGAATCTGAAAAGATTTTGCTTGAGACAGATCAAAAAACTTAAATTTGTTCGAATAGCTTTCTAGATTCACAATACACGGTCTCGTAAAGGTGCGTCGTTGACCTTGCAGTGTTGGATCGTGAATTCTCTTGTTGTGCTGCTTGCCTTTTTTGAAATCTCTGTAAATGAAAACTAAAGGGGTTGATATGTGCGAGTTAATGACGCGCCTTATCAACACATTGTGTTGGAGTTCACTGCTTGTTTTTTACTATGTCCATTCTCTTTGGAATCAGCCTTTCGAGGGCTGTGCCACTCAATCCAGCGTCTTCATCGCTGTTTATTCCTTTGTGAAAGTGGAGCCCGTACGTTGGGGCCAGTGGCGTGGCGTGCTTTTGGATATATCGACTGTTGTGCCATTAAAACCTATGGAAAAGGATCGATAAACAGGGTGTTCGCAGCGAACACCTTAATAATCGATTCTTTACCATGCGTTTAAATGGCATAACAATCGATTAATCGCAATTCACGCCACGCCACTGGTTGGGGCTGTGAGCATATCGCAAATCGACGGTACAACTACCAGACTACGTATCTCGGTTTGCGACGTTGCAACTTCTTGCCATTCTTCAATTTTTAAAAGGAAAACCATTCAACATAAATTCTTGATATTTTCCGTGATTTTTCTTCTCCATGTGAAGAAAACTCTGTGAAAAATTCCAGGAGTGATATTAATTGGTTCTCCTTCAAAAAAACAAAATGGTCGCGAAAATTTTTAAACACTGCAAACGAGATACGTGGGCTGGTAGTTTCACTATCAAAATTTATTTAGATGTTTCTGTTAGGTGCATGCCTGAATGGATCACTTTAGGCACAGTGCAAATGTAAATAGTGTGGTAAATCAAGTATCATTGAAATGTCATTTATAACACGATTTGCAAAACGAAAATTGTTGAAAGTATCTCTTAACCAAGGTATTTTTGTGTCCCGGTCCCCAGTTTCAAATTCCCCGCTCATAAAAGAATCATCTTATGCCTCAGTTAGCTCATCTACTAAACGTCCCCGTAAAGCGTAGGTTTCTTGCTTCAGTTGAAAAGTAAGGCAGAAAAGAATGGTTTAAAACTACTGGATTCCTTTAAAACCATGGGAACCGTTTGGGAGATTTTACCTTTATTTATGTTAAAGGAATGGATGCGGGGAATTTGACTACAAGTGACAGGGCTGAAAACATTTTGAGTTTAGGAATGGAATTTGGATTTTCTTCACGAAGTCATCGTGATTTTTGGTCGGTCTTACTACTGAAAATTATATTCTTTTATTTGTATCTCTCGTGGGCTAAAGACCCACTGACTGACATAAAAAGACAGATTTTACATACACATGCAGGATGAAGAAAAATGAGACAACGATGAAAAACTATTAAATATGTCCGATTTATTTCATAAATCTATCGAGGTAAAGAAAAATTTTATGGAGTAAAAAAACTAAATCAATCTTATTACAATAAAATGCAATGAATACTAAGGTGTATAATTGGACTATATATCGCACTTAGGAACTACAATTTCTACCCCATTCATAAAAACACTCATATGCATAGAGAAACTAATGGTACGTACGTCGTTTCTAGACTGAGCCAGGTATTGTAGTATTTGTAGTTCCAAATTGCAAAATGCAGTCCAACTAATGTACCATCAAACAAAATTTATCACAAAACGAAGAAAAATAGTATAAATAATTTATAATAAGATCAGAGTCAAACCATTCTCTACAATATAAATGCATAAGTGTAACGCGTTACACATAACGTCGGAGGCGCAGAGCGCTTCAGGGGGGTTGGACCGCGAGGCAGTCAGGGTGCATGCCCCCTAGTTCCGAGATAAAGCTACTCGCCTAGCATATATTTGATAGTAACTGATTACCTACGCAACATTCAGTGGCATGGCCGGATTTACCTACGTGCCGCCCATGGGCCGCCTGTATTTTGCCGCCGTCTTCTCATTCATTTTGAAACATCAATAAAGACCATCAAGTGAACGTGCCGGAGGGAGAAGGGATCATATGACGCGTTCACTCGCGTTGGACACATTTTTTGCGTAAGCCCTGTCAACACTACAAGCAAAAGTTCACGGAACTTCGCCCGAAAGTTCAGTTCCGTAAACCTATTTCTGTGGGGACAAGGCCTTTCATTCGTAAGAAATGAACTAAAAAATTAAGAAAGAACAAATATAAATGCGGTTTAATAATTTTAACTTCCACCGCCGTGCCGTGCTGACCACACTGTGTTTGGCGCAATGCGTGAAGTATTCATGTAGTCTTGTAGGCACTGTGCGTTTCACGCCGCGCCGACCGCTGTTGACTGTGCTGTGTTTGACGCAATGCGTGAAGTATTCATGCAGTCTCGTAGGCGCTAATATGTGTTACATACCGACCGCCGCGCCTCGCCAAGGGCTTCTCCTTTTCATCTCAAGTCCTCGTCATCATTTCTCTCTGCGCCGCGCCGCTCCAGGCCAAATTACGTGTTTGGTTTCTCTCTTAACTCAACTAATTAAAGGTGCGCAGTCTTTTGTATCATCGAAATACGACAAAATTAGAAATTAATGAACTCTCCGGAAATGAGATATTTTGTCACCTTTTCTTGTTTGTAATTTTATTCTGAATTTGATTTTTTTGTACCTGCATTTAAAAAAATTGCAAAATTTGCCGCCCCCTAATTTTGCCGCCGTGGGCCGCGGCCCATGTGGCCGCCCCCTTAATCCGGCCCTGTTCAGTGGTGAGGCACGAATGATCAATTATAGATCTTCCCCCATTTGAATCTGTGGTAAAGAATCGATAATTAAGGTGTTCGCTGCGAACACGCTGTTTATATAGATTCTTTTCAATAGGTTTGAATGGCAGATCAATCGATACATCGCAAAGCACGCTCAGCCGCTGGTAACATTTCAGGGGGCAACCTGTTAATGAGTTTGCTGTTTATCAAAAGAGGCGATGCAACAATGAGTTGAACTATACCGTAATTTTAAAGAAGAATTCATAGAAAAATAGAAGAGGAACATGATATGTACAAAAAAAAATGCTGAAAAATCCAAGTTGATACATTTTAGGACTTCGCGATTCTCTTAAATTGAACCCAAACATCGAGCGGTGAGTGCAAACCAGATCGGGGATTGTATTTCAAAGGTATGGATGTTTTCTCGCATGTGTGAATTGTGTAGTTGCTGACGATGTATGCCAGGACTGACTTCATCTCGTACATCGCGAAACGCATTGCTAGAAAATGAAAGTAAAAGAATTCTTTAAAAGCAGTACAAGGTTGAACTCTCATTCAGCGAGAATTAATTTATCAGTTAGGTTCTAATTATTCTTGCAAGTGGACGGGATAAGATCGTCGTTTTTTAAACAAGTGAGCGTAACTACATTTGAGGGGCTTGGATGACAAGGCGCCTAAGTGCAGTTTTTTTTTTTTTTTTTTTTTTTTTTTTTTTTTTTTTTTTTTTTTTAAAAATCGAGATATTAATGATTTCAAGTAAAGCTAGTCTGAATACATATTAATAAAAATACGCTCCCACATTCCAATTTTTAAGCATCAAAAAGTCAGTTTGAACTTTCTTTCCGCCATAAAGATCCATGTAATTTCGAAACTGTAAACACGTTTTTCTTGAAATGATTCTGCATTAGTGTGCAGTCAAAAAACTCACTTCGTCGTGTTCAAATTGGACTCAAAGTTTTGAACGTAAGTCTTTTTTATGTAGACGAAGGAATTTAAAACTGATCGTCATGAAAATCGACAATCTCCGCTAAAAACTTTGAGATTTCAAATTCTTCCGCTTTGTTTTGGTTAATATTTTTCAAACGAGGTGGAGAAACGGTGCTTGGTCCACACCTTTTCGCGAGGAAAACAAAGCCAAGAAGTTCTAAAAATTAAAATTAGACCATTTCTCCACCTTGTTACATACAGTTCGGGCCACTTCTTAGTGTTTTTATTTCTTTATTTTTCAAACCTGATATCTCAAATCCAAAATGAGCTTACCTATACATATTCTGGGTCCGTCGCCAAAAGGTATATAAGAGCCAGGTACGATGTTGTCCTTGTTTTCACCAAGAAACCTTTCCGGTTTAAATTTTTCTGGCTCTGGGAAATATTTTGGATCGTGATGCAAAGCGTAGATAGATACAAATAAGGTCGTTCCTTCCTCAACCACGAGTGAAGTGTCAGGCATTTTGAACGCCTCAGTACACCGTCTAACCAAAAGCGATGCGGGCGGGTCCTTCCTTAAAGTCTCTGAAAAAAGAGGGGAGACAATCAGTAAGGTTTTGATTGAAAGTAAGCCAAAGCTGAAAATCGCGTTTTCGGGCGACAAGGCCGGTCCCGTAAGGTATGAAAGTATGAAGCTAAAAGTTTTAAGATTGTTAAGAATGCAAAACTTTGAACATTATTTCAGGTTGTAAGCACAGTTTTCCTCCAAATCCTCTTTTGCAGTGACAAGCAAGTGGGTCGTTAAGTGGCATGCAGGGCACAAAAGCTTACCGCTAAAGATCTATAAAATTATCAATGAACACAACTTTTTGCGTATTTCACGTGATCCCCCCCCCCCCCCCCNAAAGTTTTTGTTTTTTTTCCAAATCCCTCCTTCCGCGACTTTGCCACGTTTGGTGTTTCGGAGTCATACAAGGATTCGCCTTCATTACAAATGGACTGCATTTTGCAATTTGGAACTATAAATTCTGGCCCGATTTAAAAACAACGTATTTGCCGTTAGTTTCTCTATGCACATAAGTGTTATTTCAAATGAGCCAGAATGTATAGTTCCGAAGTGCAAAATGCAGTCCAAACGGCGTTCTTCGCCAATCAAAATTACAGGCATAGCACAAATGCGTGCAGTTAAATATATGAAAATGCGTTTACAGACACAATTTTTTGCCTGGTTTCACGTATTAGGACAATTTCCCCAAAATTATTCGCGAACCTTTTCCTTTTAGCGACATTGCCCCATTTGTTGCTGTAACGATTCGCGCTCATTGCAAATCGCGTTTTGCGCCGATTGAAGTTACATGCAAAGAATGAATACGCGTCACCAAAGATTTAAAAGTCACCCGTGTGATTCAGCATGACCAAATTTTTACATGATAAGGTCTCCATGCGTCAAGCATATCGTGTTTCGCTTTGTCGGTGCGCCTACTTTTCTGTGCTGCGTTAAAGTCCCCGAAGTCATTCCTGCATTGTGTCGTCTTGGCGATCTCTCGTACATACATGGTTCAGCGTGATTAAATGTGAATGTTACGAAACCTTAAGAGCGTTCCTCCGCGGCGTCTCACGCCGGTGGAAAAGTCTGCTACCGAGTTGAGGGCGAGAAAACACACAGATATTGTTGCAGGGCACTTCAGGAGCGGAATTCGCAGTGACGTGATGTGCTTTGCGATATATCGATTGATCTGCCATTTAAACCCAATCAAAAATATCGATAAACAGGGCGTTCGCAAGGCACACCTTAAAAATCGATTCTTTACCATATCTTCAAATGGGGAAATATCGATAATCGAGCATTCTCGCCACGCCAGGGGATTCAAGGATTTTTCCGCTGCTCCCCGTTATAATTTGTCTCCTGTTCTTTTCATGATTATATTTTGATTTATAGTATTTAAAGTACTCACAAAGCCTCATGAATACGTCGTACCAACCTGAAATGACAGCCTCCAAGTATACGAGCTTTTTTATGGCATCATAGTCTAAATTGCCATTGTGCGATTGTTTTACCGATTCAACTTCTTCTCTTAACTTTGCACAGATTTCTGGATGCAGAGCTAGCTCGTACAGGCAGTGGCTGAGTGTGGTGGCAGTTGTCTCAAATCCAGCAATGAAGAAGATGAACGCGTTTGAGGCTACCACAGTGTCTGTGAATAGAATATCTGAAAGTACAAAAAAGACAAATTAAAATTAATTCCTTCTTTTACGGATTTCTGAAAAGTTTTGCTCTGACCCGCATATTATGCAATCATTTTGCAACTGTTCTGACAACTTTACTTTACTCTCAGTTTTTGCATTTCCCATTTTTCCAACAATTAATTAATATCTTAATCATACTTTTGTTGCCATCAATGGTTTGATCGAGAACGATTTAGCAAAAAGGGTTATAGGACATTCCGTCTACGATTCTTTGTCCGCGCACCTGTTTTTTCCAGTAATTAACGTCCACGCGTTTTTTCGGCACGGGAGTTTTGGTCCACGTGACAGTTGAGACCCAAAGTTAATTGGCCCACATCTAAATACAAACGACAGTTTCTCACGACTTTTTTGGATGAAAATGTCTGATGTCTTGGAAGAATGAGGGTTTGCTTGTTTTTTTTGTTTTGTCTGTTTGGTCCAACGGAGAATGACATATAGTTGAGAGTTTTGGTAAAAATGGGGGAGCGTCAATTCCATGAGACAAAATTCACTAAAACTCTCTACACCTCTTTGGTGTGACAGGACTTAATTATCTTTCAAGAAATTCCCACCTTGTTATACCTGAGCCAGATAAACCTCTGTATTTGCCTCAGCTAAAGGCTCTTAGATTTTTCCTGTGTACGATAAGTATCTTGATTTATTTTGCGAGGAAAGATCTGTACTTTTAAAGGATGCCTGTCATTCTTGATACGTTCCATTTCGTATAATACTGCGCAACACCTCTGTTGCTTCAGGCGCCGCCGCAGAGCGGAGCGGTGTGCTGACAGCGCTAAACGCGCATTGGCGCCTACAAACCTAAGTGGATACTTCAAGCATTGTGCAATGCGTGCAGTATCCACTTAGGTTTGTAGGCACCAGTGAGCCTCTCGCGCTGTCAGCACACCGCTCCGCTCAGTTAGGCTTTAATATTTATACTCGCACAGTCAGCGTTTTTTAACACATGATTTTAAAATGTTAGCACACTCTGCATTGATTATTATCATTTAAATTGATGGGTAAAAAATATGTATCAATTTATCAAAGGAGAATAATAATAGAATGTGTGTTTTTTAAATATTGGTGGTTCCGTGTCAAATTTAATGATTTCCAAAGCACTTTAATTTTTTCTTTTACATTTTGTGCTTTTATTGTGCTGCAGCGATGTGTACACGCAACCAAACGCTCAAAATTGGACGTATTTGACTCTAAGAGATCGATGTACAAATGGGTTAAAATTAAAGATTGCGTGCTTCTTGGTTTTTTTCCCTCTCTCATTCATTTTTGCAGTTTCTGTCGGCACAACTGCGACTCATTGAGATTAATGTCGCTTGGAAAAGGTTTCACGAATATTTGTCACGTTTTAAAAATATAAATGATTTCAAATGAAGTAATAATTTCGTGAAGAAAAAATTAAAAAAATAAAAAAAAGTACCTATACATATATGAGGTATATTGTACATCGAATATTTTAAGGATAGAAATAAAACCAAGTATTCACCAATGACAATTTAAAAATATGATTCAAAAGGAGAAAGTAATAACGTTTCATTTAGAAAATGAGCAACCATACCAACACCTCCTTCTCTCTCAATTTCTCATTTCCATATTGTCAATATAATTTTACATACCGACTAAAATATAACGCTTGGACCAAGTCACTGTTGCTTATTTTACGTGTGGGCGTAAGCTATTGGACAAAAAAGGCGCGCGCACAAAAAATCGTTGACAAAATGTCCTGAAACCGCAAAAAGGAACCAGCGCGATTACAGTGTTTTGAAAATCGTGCACCTTCTCCTTCCCTTTTAAAAATACTCAATATATGTACAGTAATAGAATTCACACAAATATTTTCCTTTAAAAGGAACGAATTTTTGGTTGGAAGCTAAAAATATTTGCTGTTCTGAGAGATGTTTTAGTTAATTATGAAGAAGCAACATTTTTACAACACTGTAAGTACACTGGTTCCTTTTTGCTCAATGCGATCCATTTGTCCCTATTCCCTAATTATTTTTTTTCTTTTTTCTTTTTTTGCAGTAAAAGGGAAAACTGTAATTTGATGTTGAGGAACTTCCCCCTATTTTATTAATTGATGAGAGAAGTTCTAGAAGGAAATGAAAGGAAAAGAAATTTCGTAAATAGTCAGCTTGACCAGTCGACAGACCTTTCGGTGTTTCGATTGCATTCTTAGCATGGCCATTCTGGGTTTCGGCTTGATCTCCATTCTGATGATCATTACTTCGCGTGTGTTTTATCTCCTCTGCTTGAACTTCGATCAAAAGTTGCAGAAAATCATTTCTCTTGTTCACATTTGATTCTCGGTGCTTGACGGTGTCCTTGAGAACCGTCCAAAAAAACTGTTCCACCTGAAAACAATCATGGAAATATGACATAAAACTTTTGAAAAATCGCGGACCAGCATCAGAGTGGGAATACTGTTTTATTTTCTTATTTAGAGGTTGAATTCAAAATTCTTCTGCACCAATAAACTTGGAAAATCACCGTAAATTTGATAATGCCAAAATTGTTTTTTTAAAATTATTTCCGGCGATTAAACGATTAAAAAAAACCAATGAGTTCATATAAATACCTAAGGCAAAATCACTACACTTTACGTTCAGAGTAAGGCTTTACATTTGAGTATTCATTTCATTCGGTCTTCGTTTTTCTACATTGATCCAGGTTTTTATGATCTGTTTGTTGGACCTATGCCCCAAGTGGCTAAAAAAATGTCATAAATTGATGATCAGCGAATTTCAACAATCATGACCGCTAAAACACTAATGATTGATGAAATAAAGCCGCTCTGAGAAAATGGTTGTCGATGAAAACGTCAAATGACACGCAGAACGTGCAACAAGCAAATATTGGCCATCGGATTCGCCGGTTTCGCCACATGCTGAACAAGGGCGGACTGGTAGTCGAAAAGTTAAGAGGAGACCTAAATGTAAGGGCCCCTCCTGTCGTTCGGGGGCCTCTCTAAGAAGGTCCGGGGTCCCTTCCCCGGTAAATTTTGAAAATTTCAAGCTTTTTAAACACGTAGGCATTATTGGAGTTGGATTCTACAGTACTTGAACTTCAAAATAACCCATTCTCAGGATTCATCGGAGGTCCCTTCATCACAAATGCTTTTGGCGATCTTCCATGCCTCTTAAAGACAAATTTTCAAGGAATTCGGGGCCTTTTAATGATTGAAAAGGATAAGAAAATTACAACATTACGGGAAAAAAACATTGACTCGAAAAAAATTCGACTGAATTATGACTGAAAAAATTAGAATTGACTTCGAATAAAATTGTTAGGGGGCCATCGCCTCCCCGCCCCCACGGCCAGTCCGCCCTGCGGCACAGGAAAGCCGAGAAACCAAGCGGGGACGCTACTTCAATATTAAATCCATCGCCTTCCTAAGACGCAGGGATACAACTATTTGAACTCTCTGGAACGCGTGAAGTATCACGCCTCAATTGAAGGCGTTTTCGAATCTTATGTATTTACATGACGAGATTTTCTAAATTTTTTTGCATTATATTGTAGATTTGATTTCCTTTTATTATTTAATAAAAATATTCCTGTTCCTTATTTTTTAATAATTCTGCAAAAACCATCCATTAGCGAAATACAACCCTGGCTTTAGCGCCCTGAAACTCCGTTAGTTTTTTGCATTTTAATGTAGATTTGAGTTCCTTTTGCTATTTAGTTAAATTCTTCTTGCTTCTTAATTTTTAATTATTATGCAAAAATTATCTTTTTGCGAAATACAATCCCGGCTTTCGCGCCCTTACACTACGGCCTGAACGGTCGAAACTGCAGTATCGGCACAAGAAACCAAAAGAAAACGCAGGGACGCTACTTCAATATTAAACTTACATCGCCTTCCTAAGGCGCAGGGATACAACTATTTGAACTCTCCGGAACGCGTGAGGTATCACGCCTCAATTGAAGGCGTTTTCAAATTTTCTGTACTTTCATGACGAGATTTTCCAATTTTTCGGCATTATATGGTAGATTTGAGTTCCTTTTATTATTTAGTTAAAATATTCCTAATTCCCAATTTTTAATTCTTTTGCAAACGCTATCCATTTGCGAAATAAAACCCAGGCTTTAGCGCCCTTAAACGACGGTCTGAACGGTCGAAACTGCAGTAGCGGCACAGGAAAACCGAAAAACAACGCGACGCCGGGTTACTTTTTCGATGTATAATCGCTTGTTTTCGATACCCGGGTACCCGACCTTCCAATGTAAACAAAGAGGATAGAAATTACTACGTATCTCACACCGCCATTTTGGATGGAACATATATCGAAAAAATGACCGAAGCTCGGCGCACACCGGGCTCTGAACTCGTCAACCAGGAAATGGCGCCAGCTCTCCCATTTACACTGTTAAAAATAAAAACCTTTACCGTAATGAAATGTGGCACCTAGAATCTCAACGTTAAGGTCATTCAAAATACCCTCCAAAACAGCGAGGATATTTCCTTTAAATGGAAGGAATTAACCTCCCGGCGGAGGACTTAATCTCTAAACGGAGAATAAAACCTTTCAACCGACCACGCTTGTACAGAACTACTTCCCTCTGCGTACTCAGCGCACTCTTTCAAGTAGATGCGGAAGTACATGCAGAGCCCGTAATTTTCATATTTCTGCATAGGTATTACATCTGAAATTTGAGTTACACAAGTATCGAGTATTAATAATGTGTGCATTACAAATCTATGTACTCTGGCTGAATGGAGGGATTTGCGATTTGACTATTGATTCTTATGTAAAAGTTCGCGAAAAACACGATGGTGCCACTGGTTTTCTTCGAAATCAACTCCCAAGCTCAAAAAGAGCTCTCAAGTTGAGGCCAAAATGGAGGGGATATCCCACGCTATCCTGAGAGTCCACCTCAACGTCAAGACAAATTCTCCATCCGTAGATAGGGAGCAAATACATTAGCAGGGTTGCCGTGTTTTCAGTTTTGGAGTCCCCAAATAAAGTGGCAACCCTGCTCATGTATTTGCTCCCTATCTTTGCATGGAGAGTTTGTTTTGATTTAGAGGTGGACTCTCAGGGTAGGGTGGGATATCCCCTCCATTTTAACTTCACTTTGAGAGCTTTTTTTGAGCTTGGGAGATGATTTCAGAGCAAATCAGTGGCGCACCATTGTGTTTTTCGCGAACTTTTACATAGGAATCAATGGTCAAATCGCAAATCCCTCACACATGCAACATCTCCATTTGACGATTCTGTCGAATGCGCGAAGAAGTTTCTAACCTCAAAATAAAATTAACTTATTACCTCCGGATTAATTGATCTGAGTTTGAGGTAGCTCATGAGTTTCGGCGCCAAGGTGCGACAGATGCTTCTGATGTGCGCCCCCATGGAGGGCTTGAAGATGAGCCGGCCGATGCGTCTGAACTCGGAATTTTCGTCCCGGATTGAGTTGCAATTGAGACCAAAGGCGCAAGCACCGATGACGTCAGTCGTGAATTTGGCCATTAGTTCCTTCACATTTTGCTCAGAGTTCTCGCCGTCGGCCGTGGCCTTGTCTAAGTAGTCGGCCAACTCGGAAATGCACTCCTGCATCAAGCCTTGCATGGCCCTCAGCTTCCCCGAACTGAAAGTTGGTGTCAGCTTGTATCGGACATTTTTCCACCTGTAAATTTAAAGCACGAAGAGTGGGTAAATCCATTCGTGACTCGTATCAAAGAGTCACATTTCAATGGCTAGATTCGTAAAATGTGTATCTATTTTACAACGTTTCAAAATCAAAGGTTATGTGTATTTTTTAAAAAAAATACCGATCAAATCGTGTCAAAATATCAGAATGGATGAAAGTATTTCGTAGAAAATCTTTCATGAAAAGCTGTTGGTTTGCTAAGGTTAGTTTTCTGATGGAAACATTAAATATGATAGGAGATTTGTAGCTACGCACTTGGAAATACGTATTTTCTGGCCGATTTTTAAACTTAACAGTCAAACTTTCATGATGAATAAAGTTTCAAGTTAAACTCATAAATGGAGCGTTTTCTGTGTTATCTTCGATTCAAAGTTCGATCCCGCTCAACAAAAAATCATACTCTCTTCTTTTCAAATTAGATTCTGAAGTATAATTTCAGTATATTCTCGACCAAAGGACAACCATTTTCAGCGACAAAGATAATTTATTCCAGCTTTCACCAAGTCCGTCGTGGAGTTTGTTGGTTGACGGAACCAAACTCAAGGTTCGGTGAGCCGAAATTTCAGTTCAAAGAATTGAAAATTTAATTCTACGAATCAAAGAATGTTGATTCGTAAGGAACATGCTCCATTCAGACCGACACTTTCCAGTTCGGGGAACCAAGACCATCGGCTTATTGAAATAATTCGGTTCTAGCAAATTCAAAGGTCGGTTCGCGTAACTACTCTCGGTTCGCTTAGCCGAGATTTTCTGCGAAAAGAAATAACTTACAAAAGTGATTATCAGCTATGATAAATATCACTGACCTTTGACCTGTTAAGCTGACTAGATGGCTTGATAACGAACTCATCTCTTCGCTCATCTTGTTGTTGCGATCGTGAAAATGAGAGAAATTCTTCACGAAAATACTCTTGATCAGCTCCGGATCTCGGATCATTAGAAACGGTTTCGTCAGCTGGTAAAATCCGCCGAATTTATGGCCTTCGAGTTCATCATATATCCGTTGAAAAACGAAGGTCATGGGCGTCCGTCGAAAGAATAAATCCTTGGTGTGGCCGAAGGGCACATCGACCTCTCTTGGAGTTGGCACACCCCGTCTCTCCCAGTAAGAGTATTTACTTCGAATGTAGAATACAACGAAAAGGGTAAAACTAGAAATAACCAGCAGCACGGTTGTCAAGGACGGTAAGGAGCTCAAAACTAGTAACGAAGACATTTTGGTACCTGTAAAATACCCGGAATCAAATAAATTAGAATCTTATTCCTACAAAAAAGACTGGATGTATGGAAAGGGACCTTATCTTTCGGAGGAAATTTTCCTTAACTTTTTTTAAGAGTTAAAACCACTTTTTTGTATAGCCTTAGAATTTTTTTTTTGAAACTTCAGAACTCAAATTTCACTAAAAAACACGTGGTATGGGTATGTGCTTACCATAGTGTTGCACGTAAACTGAGATTTGAACAAGAAAGAAGAATAAGAATAAATCTGTAATTGCATGCAATTCAATTACGCTTCTGATTTTCAAGAAGAAGGAAAAGACAGAATTTCTAAACATGCAAGTGACCTCACCAAAATAAGCATTTTACCGCAAAGTGCGCGAAATGGGAATTGAAACTAATTCGTACTCATTTATGAAGAGACGCTATGCGCATTTTGAGATTAAATCAACAGTTAGTGAGCACTCAAAATAATCTTCAGATTTCTTGTAGTAAAGGTCATTTAAAGAAGATATCTCAATTCCTATGGTATGTAATCAAGGCACTTGACTTAATGACCAACGACATCCATTTGGTAGTATTCGAATGTTGCTGCTGTACTTGAGGAATGGCAGAATAAATTCATAATAATATCGTGCAGTAATCTTGGCTGTATTAAAAACAGAAAGTTTGAGAAGTTTTAGAATATGTACTTTTCATAAATGGCTTGGATAAGTAAGATAGTTCATATCGTACTTGAGTTATCTAATGCACCCTCTTGCAAGTCCAACTATATATGCCGTTAAGTATGTATAATGGAATTTTTCGAAAATAAAGTACCGTAGTATTTTATATGTGCGAGTTTGTTTGGATGAGTACGTTTCAAAAACCATACGTGTTTAATTTGTTCCCATTCAAGGAAAGTTTGCTCTTTTTAATGATGGCGGAGAATCATATAGTGTAATTTTAGTTGTCTTGACTATCTCAACGATCGACCACTATGTCAGATAGGGTAAGCGCTGACGTGCAGTGAGAGATTGAAAAACAAACACCCTCATCAAAATTTCACGAGAGAAACCTTGAAAATATTAAAAATTAATAAAATTAATTTTTGAGTGAGGAGCTATCGTTTATAGTGAACATTACAATCAGACAATTCTAAATTCTCGCAACTTAGCCAGAGAAAAGAAACTTATCTTTGACAAGTTGATATACTTTGATTCCATTCAAATGGCCTTCCCTCTTTAATTCAGGATTCCTCTATTCTCAAAGTGAACTTACCAGTCCAGAGAAATTGTTCCATTGCAACATACGATGATATTGGTTCAGTGCCCTATTCAACTCCAGTAGACTTTGGGTTCTGTTATGTGGAAAGTTTGAATTGTTGGATAAAGATAACGCTAGTTACTCACCTGCCAGATAAATTGTCATTCCCCGGATGAAGGTACGTAACTCTATTCCAAGTTTGTAAAACTAGCTCAAAAAATTTAATTTTTTCACAAGTATTTGATCGTGCAATTTCTTTTCAAAATTGTTCTAACTTTTACATCTAGTTAACGAAAAAAATCACTAAAAATGTCAATTAAAAATGCCCAACAACTACGCACTAAACATATAAATTGCAAGCAAAAAGGAATAAAAAATGTGGCCCTAACTGTACGTAACAAGATCGAAAGTTTTCTTGAAATTGTTGAACTTTTTGGCCTTGCTTTCCTTGCAAAATTGCGTGTACCATTATTGTATCACCTTGTTACATATCAATTGTATTTTGGAGGAGAAGAGGTTTCTTCGTAGAAAAAAACGACAAAATTTAGAAACTTTCGACCAGTTTAGAATGTTTCACTCGCAAGTTTGGTGTGAAAAAATAAGAAAAACATCGGAATGCTTCATTTATTACTTAACCTATTGGTAAACATTTGCTCTAAACTAAAACGTTATCTTACAAACCTGAATTTGCTTTTAATCCAATATTAGTTCGTTAAACCCAATTGATTATCTGCACTAAAACCTCACATCACTATAGCTTTTTCGATCAGCTTCTAATGATCGAAAAAATAACGAAAGTTTAGACTCGAACGCGGCAGGACCATACGACGCAACGCGTAATACTGATACCGCGAGATCAGCTGGCAAGTCATCTGATTGCGTCACCCGTATGCAATCTAGTCGGGACGCTTAGATACGTTGTTAAACTCAACAACGCCCAACGGAAGTCCCGATGTTCGTTGAGTGACAACTGACAAAATAAGCGTTGTTACACTCTGATGCATTTTCGCTGTGTTCAAGATGATTGTCCGACGAAATGCTGGACACGGTCTGAGATTTGAACTGAAACAACTTAAAAATATATGAATAAATAATAGTGGCTGATGCAATGATTTAGAATGTGATGCAAATGGTGAAAACGATAAATAATGAATAATGGGTGGCGCAAAGGAACGTAAATTGTTGTATTCAGCTACAGTCATGAAATAACCGTCGAACCAACTTTAGCTGTTTGAATGTGTGATTGTTACCTCAATTTTTATTTATTCTTACCTAACGTAAAACCTTACCTGATCCAATCAAGACTACCAGCTGAACAACTTTTTTGAGGCACATATTATGCTGAAGAGGAGAAAGTTGGAAATGTTTCAAAGGTATTTGGGTCGATGAAATTTAGATAAATTATACCTATGTTAAAAGGAAGGCTGGGTGCGTGTTGTAAATGATTGCTTCATCTTTGTTTTCCCATTTAAGTACTTATTGTTGGCTGCACACAAAAATTCACAAACACATGTAGATGGGTCGCTAAATTTCTAGTCATTAAATGCAACATTTTTTTCGTCGCATAAAAGAATAGTTGCAATTAGCCACACATGAGCTATCACCAGTTATGGAATGTGACAACTTTTGCTGCGCGTTGGGACGAGCCAAGGCTACGAGAGCAGGTATCGTGATGGTATTGTCAGCAAATTCAAAGTGCCTTCAATTCAAGTTGATGCAATTTGTACGACTCGAGCGCCAAGTTCACTTCATATACACAGTTACATGTTTATTACTTAGGTATGAGGTTTTGACAGGGAATTAGAGAGTGTAAACTGTCAATAAACGGTGTCAACTGTGCCTAACTCCATGTGTCAATCGATCGGAAAAAATTACTGAATGGAGAAACTCTTGCGGAAGGAATACAGGAAAGGCGACTCGGCTTTCAGGACGTTTGCGGGAACTCATAGGTCTTGAGCTTTCACCTTTCCAAATTGATTCATTCCTTATCGAAGTAAATATGACAACGTCTGAATGCTCAACCAGTGTTCATCCTTAGCACGGTCGTAAAAAACTACACAGTTTGTAATACAAAATCTTAAGATTTGCGCTGTGTAAGGCGTGATAGCCGTGATACCACTATTCGACCACTTGGGAGCTTGGTGTGCCTATTCAATTGATTGAAGGCGTTTATATTTTCCGTCATCTTACTCTAAAATGAACTGCCGAGGTAACAAGCAGATTCTCATTTGAAACTTGTCTTTATTAATAACATTTTTCGCATAAGATGCTTAATACGATGCCACTCTGTGTGCATGTCGAGCTACATCTACACCTTGCCTAATTATTAACTCTGAGAATTCATGTATTTCTTTGGAAAATAATGTAAACTTAACGAATTTTCCTCTTAATTTGATGAGGATGACTTGAGAAAAAATATTCAAAGCAATTAAACAAAGTTGATTAATTCCTTACCGCCATAAAATCACTCAAACTACCATGCTAGGGAAAAACGCTGTATGAGCATTCAAGAGTTGCCTCATTTTCTCCGCCAAATTTTTTTTTTTTTTTTTTTTTTTTTTCCTAAAATTCGTTTCACTTTTTAGGTGGTTTAGATTAAATCGTCCAACAAATTTCAATCACAAAAAAAAAAAAAAAATTGTCAGAAAAATTAGAAAAAAAATATTCCAAATTTTCAAAGTAAAAAAATGTTTTAAAAAAATCCAAAATTTTCTATCGAAGGAAATATGGCAACTTCTGAAGGCATCACGGTGTTTTTCCTGAGCATGGCAGAAACAAACTACATGGTTTGTAATGAAAGATAAGCGCTGTGGACCCTGATCAACTATTCGACCCCATGAGAGCTCAAAATGCCTATTCAATTCATTGCAGGCATTTTCTTTTCCACCGCTTCACGTTAAATTCTTATGAGCTATCCTGGTTTCTTGAAATTTTTACGGAAAGTTTTACCAGTACTTTAGTATAACTTAAAGAAACATATTTAAATCGATCAATGAAATAAATAATTTTTTCACTTCCAAAAGGAATGACCCAAAAGCTTGTATACGGAGTAGGTGTAATGACTCATGACAAAATAAAAGCTGGAACTTTTGTTTTAAAAAATGAGATGATTATTAAGATTCAATCAGTTACCTACTAACTAAAACTTATCACAATGTGGAGTAGGTAAAAAAGTATTAAAATAAACTACAAATGTTTAAACTATCGAATACAGAGTACAACAGGGAACAAGTCTTTATACAATTAAACTAACGTATCATAATTAAATTAACGAATCATAATTAAATTAACGCCTAAACCGCAGCATCGCGGAACGGAGCGCGGCGCGCTTAGCGAGGAGCTGATCACAGCGCCTTGATGCAACTATTCGTACTCCATAGATGGGCATGATGCATACTCAGCAATTGAAGGCGCTTTGAGTTTCTTTTCTAACTCTTGCGCAGCAGCCCCCCAGGAAGCCATGGAAACCGATTATCCTCGTCCCTCAGTTACATCATAGATTATAGTTTTTTTCATCACATGAGAATCATTCGCTCGAGCGTTTTATAAAACTATGACTTTAAAAAGGGGAATAGAGGGGGAAAAACACTTATATGCTAAATTAGAATTTAAAAGGTACTCTAAAAAAGTTTTGAGCAGCAATAATAGAAAAATTAAAATAAACGAGTGACGTTTCAGGTGATTAGAAATCAGCATTGCGTGATGCACTCAGCCACAGTTCTGAGTTTCCGTTTACACGTTTATAATCTGTACCAATATCCAAAAGTTTGTTTCAAATTTCACATAATTTGAACTCAAGAACAAACACCTGAGTGAGAGTGAGATCAAGTTACAGTATACATACGACAAAAAGTTGGCGCGGAAACCTAACATGCAGGTTTTTTATTAATTTCTCTTTGTGCAATTTGAATGGAAATATTATGCAAAAGTAACCGCGCGTATTTAAAAGTTTACCTGTGGAATCCTTTATCTCTGTTGTGAACATTTTTTTTAAAAAATGAATCACGAATGAGAGTATAATTTGATGATCAATCTATTACACTTATACTATAGTTGAAAAACTGTTATATTGTGGACATTAATTTGTGAAAATGCATATTCTGGTAAATGTTTAGAGAAAGAAAAGCCTGAAATCACCTCCGATGGATCTGTTGCACGCATGAGAGATACAGCCGACTGAATACACTTTCTACGGGGAAATTCTCTTGAAAATCACGCTGGGCACCTAAAAAAAAAGTCTGAAATTCACTCAGTAGTGTATATATGAGGATATACCATCACTTGACCTTTAAGACGGAAGCTACGTGACCCCGGTGTGAGATCACTGGCGACTGGTTGCGGGTTGCCTACCTATCGTTTCGGTACTTGACCTTTAAGACGGGACCTATGTCACGTGACCCGGGTGTGACGTCACTAGCGACTGTTGCGGGTTGCCTACCTATTGTTACCAGTGTTGTAAAATTGTGCAGAAAAATGTTGATTATTTTAGGATGATTTTGNAGTACCGAAACGATAGGTAGGCAACCCGCAACCAGTCGCCAGTGATCTCACACCGGGGTCACGTAGCTTCCGTCTTAAAGGTCAAGTGATGGTATATCCTCATATATACACTACTTCACTCCTTTGCGCGCAATCTGCGTAGTTTGTAGCACACGTTTTCAATTGTACCGCGTCTGGGGACATTCTTCTTGATGACCGGTAGTTAGGAGAGACCTAACCTGAATAAACCAACATTTTCGCGAGCTGGTTTAAACTCACCTAGCGTGAGATTTCAATTGATTCAAAGCTTTTGTTTTCGCAAAGTACAGAGAGAAAAAGGAAATAAACACTTGAAAACGATTGAAATCTTACAATAGAAAAAGTTAGTGAATCGTCCGCGATTACTTTGGGTAGTTTTCTCCTACCCCTCTGCCTGTACAAACCTAGTCGGCGGTGACGGGGAAAAACTGCCCGCAGACGCGGGAAACTTGAAAAAGCGTGTTTCAAACTACGCAGATTGCACACTAAGTAATGGCTTTCAGACTATTTTGACGCGCTCAACTTCATGTTTGTGCGATTTTACTTGTAGAGATAATATTTATTAGGCTGTATCTCTTGCGCACAACAAACCCGTTGACTTTGCAATTTTTACTTTATTTTACTGCTACCACCTACTGCTTTCCTTTATTCTAACTAAGTCATCAATTTTTGGCACCAACATCCAAAATGTCATATATAAATAGGTCCTGCAGGAAATGAGTTCTGGGAAACACACGAATAAGTGAAATTCATCGATAAAACTGACAACTTCTGACTGACAAAATACTTACTTAAATGTACAATCAGTTAGAACTTAGTTCTAATTTCACGTCTTCTTTTGATCCGCATGAAAATTCCATTTTCCGGGTGGAGCAAAACCCCTCTCGCCAGGAACCGAAGTTCCCTAGGTAGTGGTGTTTTTTCGCAAGGAACAATATCGTAATTTTTGATGAGGAATGTCATAATCATTTGCAGCTCCAAGATGGCATATTTATATCCTGAAATTAAAACGGGGAAAAATCATGAGGAAATTGCGTGTGACACAAAAATTATTTATACTACTAGCAAAGCAATCAACGGGAGTAAAAGAGGAGAATATTCCTATTCATCACTTGAGATGAAACAGGCCTGGAATTCAATTACCCCTGTTATTAGGTATATAACAGATAAGTTCCTGTACTATTCTCAGCTACTTCCATCCCTGACTTGCCCTCAATTAATATCTCCATGCATGCCATCGTTAAGTCCATTGATACAAGTTGGAAAGTAATTTAGATGAGAGATCGGTTAAAATAGGTTCGAAATTGTTTTCAAAATAGTTAGGATGCAATCTCACGAAATTTGTGTTTCAAGTTGTCACTGTCCTCTTGACTTATTTCAAAAGAATGCACGTAATTGACAGTATCTGGGGACACACAATGTTCAGAAAGAGAGACAACACTACACAAAGAGAAACAGAAAAATTGATTCTAAATCAAAATGAGGAATTAAACTTGAAGTATTTATGAGAGAGAAAAAAAAATAAATCTTTTTACTTTACTTATTTAAAAAAGGCAATGGGCAAATTAAAAAAACTACTTTTTTGGATTTCAGATTTTTGATGAATATATCACGGGTAAGAGGACGTGCCCTCAAAATTTCACGCCCGAATCCCCCCCCCCCAAAGTTACTCTTTGAGGGGGGTGAAAAACCACCATAAAATCCGTGTGCACATAATCAATTCAAATTTGCAAAATTTTAAACTATGTTCAGCCTATTCTAATTTTGGTATCAATAGTAAATTTGTTTGAAGTGGCATATACTTCAAACGAAACAATGTGTTTAAGATGCGATGCTTCAGTCTGCTTATATCTTGACATACTTTGAGCCATTATTTACCAGGGCACATTCTCGATCCATCTCCAAAGGGTAGATATGTTCCAGGCTTTGGCTGTCCCTCCAAAAACCGTTCTGGCCTGAAAAGATCGGGATCTGGCCAGTGCATTCGGTCACGATGGATTGCGTATATGGGAATTATCACATCTACTCCCTTCTTGATCACTACAGACGTTCCTGGGATTTCAAAGTCCTGTGAACATTGTCTTTGCAAGGAGGGAAAAACGCTGTACTTCCGCAACGTCTCTGAAACATCACGAAAACTTCACATTTTACAAAGATTTAATATGGAGTAAAATGCTAATATAAGTATCAAGCTGGGTATATTTACTCAAAATTAACTGGACTGTTTTTCATTACATATTCCAGTAACATTAACCGGGGCGGTAGTGTATCTATCACGTTTGGCTGCACCGACGAAACCGAGGCATGTGAATAACTCAGCTGAAATTCAAAATGAACCATTAGCCAAGGCACGAATTCAAGCATTCTGATACAGGTTTCTTAACCAGAATCTCACGTAGAACACGATTTGCGCAACGAAAATTACTGAAACCAACTCCTAACGAAGATATTAACGTTTTTATTTCACATTGGTTACGCAGATTTTGAGTTTTTTGCCCGCTCACAAGATACTCAAAGCTCTCTACGTGAGTCAAATTGCGCACTACAACGGTTTCAGCAAGCCTCTCAATCGAGCAATGTTCATTTCCCTCCATGTGTTGTTCAAACTTTAAGTAATTTGCTATAGCTGAGCCAAAGCGTCAAGATTGAGGTTGCCAGATTTTTATATCGCAAGAGACTGTCATGATAACGTTTAGCGCGCGATGTGAATCACGCAGAGCATTGAGTTTTCATGAGCGGGTGGTTTGAATTCGGCGACCGACACTTGACGTATATTAGCGCCTGCAAGACTGGAGGAATACTTCTCGCATTGCGCCAAACAGGCCGGTCGGCGTGACATTTATTAGCGCCTACAAGACTGCATGAATACTTCTCGCATTGCGCCAAAAGCAGTGCAGTCGGTCAGATGGCGTGAAACGCATATTAGCGCTTACAAGACTGTTGACGTGAGGTGTTACTTAAGTGAATGCACAAGCTTAAGAAACATGTACCAGAATGCTGAAATTCGTATACCTTGTCTAGTGGTCAATTCTCTATTCCTATCAACACGACTTCCATGATATCAAAAACATTTCTTTACTTTTAGCCTGGGCATCATTTTTTATGTGTCACGCCAAATTTTATGTAACGATAAACACACAATATGGATGGCTTCAGCCGCAAAATGAGATTTTACGTGTCTTAGCAGGACTAGGAATTTTGTGTCAGGGGCCAGAGGAGTACCTCATTGGAGAGGGTCTTTACATTAAAGGAGTCACGAACAAATGTTTAGTTTTAAGCCATAGATTTTGACATAAAAAAGAAGAAAAAATATCTGGAAAAAGTACCTTGTATTACAGCGGTGGTGTAAGTCAATTTTTCATAATCAATTTTCTTGTCTTGTTGCATTGAATCCACCTCTCTCCTCAGTTTCATCCATATTTCAATATTGTTCACAGCCTCATAAAATGCATAAGTAAGGGTAATTGCGATTGTAGAAAATCCTGCCGTAAATAAGAAGAAAAAGTTTGCGACCACGATTGTCTCAGAAACAGAGGGATCTGCTCAAAAGGGGAAAAAAATATGGACAGTATTAATGACATAGAGAAGAAATTCTGGATGGAAATCACTGAATCCTCTTTCAGTGCATACGCTTGCAGCAAAAAAAAAATTAATTAAGAGTTTTTCTAGATCCTCTGTTGGTTAAATATAAGTACCAGTAAAAACTATGAAGATAGCAAGAAATAAACAAAGATTAAATTTTGGAGGTCCACGGTGATATTTATCCCGCAAAGTTTAAAAAATTTTGAAAAAATGAACTAAAACTGATATGCTTTATACGAATGTTACACTTTACCTATATATCTCATTAACCCAAATAAATTTCCAAATGATACACGAAAGAGGGTTATTTTAATAGAAAGAGCTTAAATCCTTTTTGAAAATAATGGTGAAAAACAGTGATGAATAAAAAAGCACAAATCGATTTTTCCCTCTGTAAATAAATTAGCGAGGTACATATATTGACATTCCTCGGTCCAAATAAGTCTGTCTCCGGCCATAAATTAACCTTTATCATACCAAAAACATGTATCACACCAAAAAAAGTCATAGTTTCATGGGATTCTCTGAAAGTTGGAAAAAGTGAAATTTGAGGGTTTTAATCCTACATCGACAGTAAAACTCATAGGTATCTTGGTTTGTGACGTTGCGTTACAAACATTCTGTCATTATTTTTAACAGGAAAACTGGACAGCAATTCTTGAAAAACTGCCGTGATTTTTCTTTTCGGTGTGAAGAAAAGTCATGTTGATTTTTTCTCCTTTAAGAAATTAAATAGGAGCGGAAATTTCTAAACATTGCCGACTCGAGAAACGTGGTTTAGAAATCTCACCGTCGACATGCCTTTACTGAAGTGTAGAAATTTAAAAAATGCCAAACGACAACAGGTGTTGCCAGACTTGTCCATGTCCAGGGACTATTACTCTAATCTGGCAGGAATCTAGTGGACCATTAATTCTTGTCGTAAATTTAAGAACCAAGTAAGTATATGGAGAATATTAAAAAAAAAAGAAAAAAAGATCATGAATTGCAAGATTTTAGTTCCTTACGATACGTAATCTTAACAATACCCGATTGCTCCTAGCATACTTTGGATTTCCACACTTCAAATAATTACAAAGTAGTGAGTAGTGTAGGCCAACCTGCGTTTTTTAGATCCAACAAATTCTGCAAAAAGTCATCCTTTGCCAATCCTCCTGTTCTTCTCGCCTCCTCTTGCTGCTCAACTAGCTGGATGAAAAACTGATCTATCCTTTTGTCATGTCCTTTTAAATTGAAAACATCGTTCAAAGGCGGGCAAACATGGCGGAACAAATCACGCCAGTACATCCGCCAATTCGGTACACACAGGAGTTCTTGAATATTACGAAACGAGCTTTCGCCGTCCATAAGGGTGTCCGTCGGAATGCTTGCTGCGGTGAGGCCAATGATATGGGTAGTCAGTCTTGCCATAAGGTCGTGAAAGTCGACCTCCAGAGTACCTTTACCTTCACAGGCACGATTCAGGTAGAGTTCGAAAGCTTCGATGCCTGTCTTGATTTTAACCTTCAGGTCTGTCAACTTTGACGGCGTGCGAAAAACAGGCACGATTTTCTTGCGGATTTTCTTCCACCTGCAAAATTATTATAGTCGAGATGAAATAATTGTCGGGTTGTTAAGGACAGTGCATGTCAAAAATAAAGTGGTAAAATAAAGAGACCACAAATTTCGGTATTCTTTGTTGAAAACACTTTAACTTAGTTACCTCACTGGAAAAAAAACACATTGGATCTAGAGTCCAGACTCTTGAACCATTGACAAGAAAAAGGACTCTTGATTCAATCAGATTCAAGTTTAAATCAAAAGGAAATCCGCTCAAATTGAGAGGCTTGGTTCTTGATTTAAGCTTAAATCTGATTGAATCAAGAGTATTTTTCCTTGTCAATGTTTTTAAGAGTCTGGACTCTAGATCTAATGTGTTTTTTCCAGTGTGGTACAATGTTTCCAAAAAAATTAAATTGGCATTTACGGCGTTTTTGCGTTTTTGCGAATATATCCTCTAAATATTTTTTTCAAAAGATTGACCGTAATATTATACTTCTTTGATTTTTATGTTAAGAAAAGTTACTATGATACCACAAAACCATGTTTTAAAAAGTAAATACAAAAATGCACCAGAGCAATTCAGTTAATTTTTTATTTCATTAATAACAACCTCAATGTATGTACATTTGGTAATTATATAATTCTTACACATATGCTACCACGTATTATACTTTCACTGAATAACTATATTTTGATAGCTCTCCGAACCGTTGCAGTTAGATGCCATGGAACAAAGTAATAAACGTCCTTAATGGAGACAGCATAACAACTACGCTTGGAGCCCCTTCAATTCCAGCAGGATGCAACTTTCAGCACACCTTTAATAATGGACCTGTAGCGTAGCATCTTTACGCATGTCTTTCATCGCAGAAAATAGGGGTGGTGTGATTGAACTCTTGATATCTGCTCAGGAAATTTTGCGTAACTGATGCCTTATTGCCGCAAACATTTGATTTAACCTTAATTTCTTTTTTTCTCTTTAAGCGAGCACAAAATTTATGAACGGATTTCCGCGTTCACGTCCCTCTTACTTCAAAACGGTACCACTCTGTTTTGAGTGAAATTTTCTGGAAGATAAAGAATAAGGCAAGCCCAAGCCATGACAACTAGACCTTGCCTTATACTTAAAAATCTAAGCTTGATAAGAAGTATTAGATACCACGAACCTTTCGCCTGTTAGATTCAATAGATGCGACGAGCAGCTGTCCTTCTCTGTGTTTAGGAAAGCCTTCCGGTCTGGAAAGTAACTGAAATATGTAGTCAGTATTTTTTGAATCAAGGCCGGATCCCGCACCAACAAGACAGGCTTCCCATGTTCATAAAATCCACCAAATGGAACATTAGACAGCGCTTTGTAATGTGCTTCATATACCAAAGCTATTGGTTTCTCTTTTCGAGAAAAGTTTTGCCAGAATAGAGGGTTGATTTGTGCAACCCCATGTCGTCTCCAATAAGTAAATTTCCTCTTGAGTGTGAATCCAATTATACAGAGACACGCAATAATCATTAAACCTGCAGAACTTCGGGTCGAATAACTGACATGAATCCAGTCGTGAAATTCGGGCATGTTTTCCTGAAGCAAACGAATGTAAAAAAAAATTTGAGCTGGTAAAGTTCCTTTTTGGATCCAGTAGTCCAAATCTTATTTGATATCAAAGTAGTAAAAAAAAAAAATTTAACGCCAATGTTTGCGTTGGTAATGATTTATTTCTATCTTTTTTCAAAGCTTTAAATATACCACTAAGTGATATTTGAAAACTTTTTTTTAAATGTTTAAATTTTTTCATTCCTCTCATAACTTATGACCATACGTCTTCACAGGATGAGGGAAATATTATAAAGTGTTTCACATTGTTTTACACAAATCATTTTACATAAAACAGTTTAGTATCGGCTTTGTTTTTATAATTATTTAAGACTGTTGATGGGAATTTTGCACATTAACGACATTAGAAATTACGACCAGGTCAATAGTAGCAAAACCCTAGACGCATGCTTTGCAGGATTTCTTAAATTGAGTTTGAATGAAACGTCTTGATATTTTTTAAGGGCGGTATAATTACAAACAAAATAATGAAAAGCATCATTTAAAAATGTTTATTATCAAATTATAAAATCTTGATGCTCCTGAATCTTTAGACTACATTTTTCACCGCAAATCCTTCAAAATCTACATAAAAGAAAATTTACTCACCACCGCTCTGAGCGTGGATATATTTTCAATTGTTGCATTTGCGAACACAGAAAGGATTAAGGAGGGAAAAAACGTTTTCATTACACTCCAATTTTTTTCAAGTTCAAACGCCCGAATGAAATAACCCCCAGAGACTCAATGACGAAGACTTCTGCCATCGTCCCGGGACTTTAGAGATCATTGTTTATCAACAAATTCCAGGATCACTCGATTGCCGGATTGAACAATTCTTAGGTGATCTCATTTCGAATCAAAATACAAGTACATTAATTACGGCAACAGTGTTAAGTTTAGCCAGTCCATGGCATGACCCTTCTCCCGCACCGAATATTATCTCTATCTCTTATTACTATGACTGCGTCTGAGACCCCTCTTTGCCACATAAATGTGACTCATACCTCCATCACTAATCAGACGATCTATAGAGGAAAATTATTAAGGACATNCTTTTTTCAAAGCTTTAAATATACCACTAAGTGATATTTGAAAACTTTTTTTTAAACGTTTAAATTTTTTCATTCCTCTCATAACTTATGACCATACGTCTTTACAGGATGAGGGAAATATTATAAATTGTTTCACATTGTTTTACACAAATCATTTTACATAAAACAGTTTAGTATCGGCTTTATTTTTATAATTATTTAAGACTGTTGATGGGAATTTTGCACATTAAGGACATTAGAAATTACGACCAGGTCAATAGTAGCAAAACCCTAGACGCATGCTTTGCAGGATTTCTTAAATTGAGTTTGAATGAAACGTCTTGATATTTTTTAAGGGCGGCATAATTACAAACAAAATAATGAAAAGCATCTTTGAAAAATGTGTATTATCAAATTATAAAATCTTGATGCTCCTGAATCTTTACAGTACATTTTTCACTTCAAATCCTTCAAAATCTACATCAAATAAAATTTACTTACCACCGCTCTGAGCGTGGATATATTTTCAATTGTTGCATTTGAGAACACAGAGAGGATTAAGGAGGGAAAAAACGTTTTCATTACACTCCAATTTTTTCAAGTTCAAACGCCCGAATGAAATAACCCCCAGAGACTCAATGACGAAGACTTCTGGCATCGTCCCGGGACTTTAGAGATCATTGTTTATCAACAAATTCCAGGATCACTCGATTGCCAGATTGAACAATTCTTAGTTGATCCTCATTTTGAATCAAAATACAAGTACATTAATTACGGCAACAGTGTTAAGTTTAGCCAGTCCATGGCATGACCCTTCTCCCGCACCGAATATTATCTCTATCTCTTATTACTATGACTGCGTCTGAGACCCCTGTTTGCCACATAAACGTGACTCATACCTCCATCACTAATCAGACGATCTATAGAGGAAAATTATTAAGGACATTGATCATTTGGCACCGTGGTGTAATGGTAATTACATCGCTAAATTCATGACGCGTTGACGGAAATCTACCAATTACAAATTGAAAAAAAGCAATCAAGAGCCTTTCCGGTTCATCAAAATGGACCCCTTTCCTTTTGCCCTATCAACATGATCCCCCCCTTCCCCTTTAGGTAATCGACTCTTAAAAAACGAAGATTTTCCCAACTTTAAAAAGAAGCCAAGCTGGTTGCATATCTCCAGCGCTATTTTTTTCCGAGTTAAAAACCTCGGAAATGAGTACGGAAAAGTTGACCTAAAGGAACTCAGCGTGAGTACATGCTGAGTGGCTGGCGACTGCCCCTCTCTACCCCTGCTCCTTATCCTCTCCCTCCCCTGTTCTCTTCCCCCTCCCCTCCCTTTCACCGGCTCCCTCCCTCCCTTTTCCCCCGCCTAGCCGTCCTGCAGTACCGCAGCCGCAGTTACCTGTAACTGCGATAAAGGTATTTTCTTAATTTTTGTTTTTTTTCAAAAGTGACAAATGTGAAATTTTGCACCAAATCAAATCATGTTGGAGGAATTTTCAGGAAAATTGAGTTGCCAAAACAACGGAAAATAAAAATCCGTTATAGTTGAACAGCCTATCTGCAGGGATTTCAAAAACGTTTGCAAATGTTCTAGGCATAAAATAGTTTGTAAATACCCATTCAGCCTATTCTAAGGCCGGAATTTTAAGACGTTACTCGAAACTTCCTCGACTCGAGATTTCCTTAAGTACGCTTTTCGAGTGTCCTCGAGAATTGGCGGTATTTTAAGACGCGACTCGAGATTTACTCGACTCAAAACGCGCTTCGAGTCACCTCCAAATTTCCTCAAGTGAATTTCGTTGAGCAAATCTCGAGATTTTCGTGAGGGAGGTACTGAAGTCCCTCAAGGGAATTCTGAGGAAACTTGGTTGAAAGTGATTTGTTTTGTTATGAAAGTGAATTTGAATGAAGTGAATTTTTTTATGAATTTTATTGCTAAAATTTAATTTTACCCACTTTCCCTTGTTTACTATAGATATGTATGCTATTTTTCCCTTCAAAAAAAAAGTATACTGTTTTGCCTCTAGAACTTCTCCTTCTCAGTTGCAACTACCTTACGACTTCGGTGTTTTGAAACGGTAGCTGAAGGGCGATTTTTGGGGGTCACGGACATTGAATTTCAACATTTTATATTGTCATAGAGGGTTAATTTTTCAGATTAAAAAAATCCTTAAATCCCCCCGTGCGAAGAGCATCCCCTCCTTTCCCTTAAAGCTTCATCAAAGAAAGTGAACCTCAGAAAGAGCTACTGAAAAGTACAGCGCCACGGGTACTACGCATCCCAAGTAGCACAGTGCAACGAAAATATTGAAATTAAATTGCAGTTTGATTTCAATACAATTGTAATTTTTTACCATTAAATTGCAACATTTTTACATCATTTAGTCGATTTATGCTGATTTTAAACAATCAACAAAATGAGTTCCATGTGTCAGAAAGATAGGCACTATGCAATGCATTGAAAAATTGCAACAAGTTTCAATAAACGGGACCACTTCAAATAGGAGCTAGGCAACATACACAACACTCAGTGGAATTGCAATATTGTTAAAATGTAATTGCTACCTATGGCAATCTGTGCACTTGGGATTTTGGTCATGCACTTTACGAAGCTACTTTCAAATTCAAAGTCCTCATCAAATAGTGATCCTAATACAATTCCAAGGGCATTAATGGGTTTCATTTGACGTGGAGTTGATGTAATTGATGTTCAATAAAATATTTTTATGATGGTTTTAAAAGTTATTCCCGTTTTTTGTCATCTAAGACATTACATCGTTTGTTTCGGTGAAAAAACATTTGGTTCCCTAAGGTACCTATTGTTTTTAATCAAAAATAATAACTTGCAAAAGTCTATCTTGGTTTTTAACCTAATTTACTTTAATTTAAACATGGGTTTTCCACGAAATAAAGAAATAGGTTTCATCCTGAATTCATCTTCGTCCCCCGCCCCCCTCCTACTCCTCCAAAAAAAAACCTGAAGAACCTGACACTGAATTTTCAGTTTTTCAGGGAGAAAAATGTTCGAGCAACTCATTATTCCTTCCATTCTTTGCTAACACTCCTGTAGGTAACTCCCTAGAAAATCAACATTAAATGTTGACCTAAGCTTGCAGCATCGATATGTAAGATAACAGATTTCTAACTTTACCGAACGCCATGCGCCATACCCAAATGATCAGACTTGGGTGCCTTGAAGTATTCTACAAACTATAAACTATAAATAGAAATTTCGTACCATTTCACTGCAAAATTCTCTTCACAACGCCTGAGGCCGATCGGCATACACTGCAATTTTCAGAGTATTACAAACTTTAACAAAGGAAGCTGCAGATACTTGATAAGCACAACTAAAAGCAAATCATATATTATCAGAAGCAACATGATGATTGAGAATTTAGAATAAGCTAAACTAACCATCAGTACAGTTTACACATGCAAATCATCAAGCGATAAGGAATAAAGCAAGAAAAGAGGAAGTACCCGCGACAGACGCAGGATGGTAAAATTTTGCAGTATAATGATGCGACATTCGTATTTATTCCTTTTGAATCTGTTTCAGATTGATGCTGCTCTAACCGGCGCTTTCGAAATTTTTGGAGGTAGGCGATTCAACTGTGACAAATTTGGATTTTCCGTCGTGTTCACATCACAATAAACACTTTGACACGGAATTCGTGGAGTGCTGCCCTGTAAAGCCAACAAATATGATTTGATTTGGCGCACAATTTCACAAGTCACGACCGATCACAAATCACGCAAAAGCTACTTGTTGGAGACTGACGCATGGATCCGCGATCGCAGGTGCAGTGAAACATCACTGCTATTCCCAAATCGCAAAAAGCGGTTACAGTGATTTTAAAGTAGCACCTGCTGTTGACTGCACGGTTTTTCAGTTAAAAATTACATTTTTTAAATTTGTAACACCACAATCAGATCATTTTTAGCATTATTTCAGACCGACTCTTTTTTGGATGTGACAATTTTTTATTTGTTGCTGTGAATCCCTTTCTATGAAAATGTAAATCAATTCTTTGGATTTTTAGATTATACTTATTGCACTTTTGATCCCCCGGTTATCTGCTATTTTTTGCAGTGATTTTTCACTGCTATTTTCGAAAAACAGTGATTGCCGTCATCCAAATTGTAAAATAGCAATGGACCACTAGACAAGGTACAAATTTCAGCATTCTGATGCATGTTTCTTAACCAAAATTTCACGTACAACACGATGCGCACAACAAAAATTACCGAAATCAACTCCTTACGAAGATATTTAATGATTCCTGATGCGTGAATTCAAACCACCCGCTCATGAAAACTCAATGCTCTGCGTGATTCACATCGCGCGCTAAACGTTAGCATGACAGTCTCTGCGATATAAAAATCTGGCAACCTCAATCTTGACACTTTGGCTCAGCTATAGCAAATTGCTTATCGTTTGAAAAACACATGACGGGAAATGAACATTGCTCGGTTGAGAAGCTTGCTGAAACCGTTGTAGTGCGCAATTTGACTCACGTAGAGCTTTGAGTTTCTTGTGAGCGGGCAGTTCAAATTCCTCGTAACAAATGTGAAATAAAAACGTTAATATCTTCGTTAGGAGTTGGTTTCAGTAATTTTCGTTGTGTGAATCGTGTTTTACGTGAAATTCTTGTTAAGAAACATGTATCAGATTGTTTAAATTCGTACCTTGTCTAGTGGTCCATTCTGCACATATCTACAAATTCCTTGATAAAATTGTAACGATTGGTGCGCGTCATTGATGCGCAGATAATTATAGCTCTATTTCTCCATGAGTCTCTCAAACTTTGAGCTGAAAGTTTTTCTCCGGAGCGATATCCGTGTTTCTCGAGTGATACATTTCGCAGGGAGCTTTCTATGTCGGAGTGAGTTATCTCACTTGCCGCACAGTGGATCGAGTCAATGGGAGAGGTCGGACGAAATTTGGAAACTTTAAACGCTTATAACTCCGATTATACGAAACTTTAAGGTTCTGAAAGTGGATCCATTGGTTTCCTCATGAAATTTTCTTCTAATACCATCCCTTGAAATTTATAATGTGATGAATTAAACATCAAAATTTGCTATTTTAGTCGAAAATTTCATGTCCGATTTCTCCGATTGACTCGATCCACTGTGCGCCGTAAGAAGTGATCACTTGATGCTCTGAGCAGGATAACTCCAAAATATTTCACTCCGGCCACTCAGGCCAGAATCTTTTTTAACATGACGTAGAATTTGTAATGCTCAATTAACATATCGTCGGCTTACAATATTTTCATCGTTCGTCCAATCATGAAAATGCAAGTGCTGAAGAGAAAAGAGCCTTATTCACTTCTCAGGCGGGCAAATTTTAGTCAAGCTGGGTCAAAATACTGCCGTACTACGGAAAAACGCCGTATGAACATTATTCGAGAGTTGCCATATTTTCGCTCGGAAAATAGTTATTTTTGAAGAAAGATATGAATATTATTCCATGAAATTTTCTAGAACCTCAGGTGAAATTGCAAACGAAATTATCCGAAAAATTGGAGGAAAGGTATTTTCAAATTCTCCCGCAAACTTGTGATTTACCCAAGGAAATATGGCAACGCCTAAAGGTTCATACGGCGTTTTTACTTAGCACGGCAGAATACTAGACCCCAGATTTTCGATAAAGATTACTCTCTCAATGAAGTAAAAGAAAATATCATACTAACATAGTACCTGCAGCACAAAGGTTTGAAACACAAATAAGAGCGGTTGATCAATCCGTTAACTGCTGTCGGTTCCATTTCACTTTTTGTAGTTGACGAGTGAGTATCATCTGATTTTATGACTGGCAATGAGTGCTTAAAGCACCTAATCATACTGATAAACTATCAAAAATACTTTGAAGAGATGAAACGCACACCAGTGGCGTGGCGTGCTTTGCGATATATCGATTGATCTGCCATTTAAATCTATGGAAAAGGATCGATAAACGGGGTGTTCACAGCGAACACCTTGATAATCGATTCTTTACCATAGGTTTAAATGGTAGAACAATCTAGAAATCGCAAAGCGCGCCACGCCACTGACGCACACTTAATAATTAATACAACGGTTATCAATCGATTACTAACGTTGAGGAGCTCCTACCTCCGGCTGCAACGTTAAGTTGCGGATCTCTGTTTAAGTTTCATTTTTTGAAAAGGAAACTAATCTGCAATTATCTTGACATTTCCTGCAAGATAAGTGTTCAAAAACTTCAAGTGTGTTTGACTGTCATTCACCTATCTTAAGGAGGATGCCTCAGGAAAGAGCCGAGTTTAACAAAAACGCACCAGGGTGGTTTCACGATAACTGGAATAGTTTTGTCGCCGTAACAGACAACACATTTTTCGGTCATACTTTTAGCAGCAATGATAATCACTCGAATTTTTTTCGCATTATTCAAAGGGTTACGTATTATATGGCTTTTTAATAATTTATTGCTCTACTTCTCAATTAATATTATGTACGTTCCGAAAATGTGCTGTCTGTTACGCTGACTTTTTACCGCGTAACAGACAGCACATTTTCGGCCATTTATAAATTAAAATTGAGGAGCAGAGCGATAAATCGTTGAAAAGCGTTATAAAACGTAACCCTGTACAGATTAATGCAAAAAAAATTGAGTGATTATCATTATACAAATAAAAATTTGACCGAAAAATGTGTTATCTTTTACGGCGACGAAACTATTCAAGTTACCGTGAAACCACCCAGTTACTGATCCGAACTCATTTTTTTTTCTAGAAAGCAACTTGATGCGATTCTAATGAACTTGACCGTCAGTAGACAGTGGAAATCGAATATGACGACTTTGAAGGGACCGGCCTTTTTCAGTCGTCATAGCCGATAGTTATTATAACGCATAGTTAGATTTTTACGTAGTCACCTCATACTGAATAGCAAAAAGTAAAGCTATGCAGGCGCTAGGGTACGAAGACAAGGTTTCCTTATTTGCAAGAGAAAGCCCTGGAGCCCAGCGAGAACCCAAGGAGCCCAAAGAGAACGCTGGTGTTTGTCACGCGCAATATACACTGGTCAGAACTGCCGTGCTAAGGAAAAACGCCGTAAGAAAATTCGAGAGTTGCCCAATTTCGTTTGATAAAATGTATATTTTGGAGGAAGATTGTGAATACTTTTCCTTGAAATTTTCAGTAACTTTAGAACAAAATACAAAAAATTCTCTCAAAATTTGAAAGGAAAATATTCATAAGTTTACCGAGAAATTCGTGTTTTACCAAAGGAAATTTGGCAACGCTTGAAGGTTTATACGGCGCTCTTCCTTTGCACGGCAGAGAAATTGTGCACACCAATTACGAATATTTAAGGTTAAAGCGCGCCCCTTTGTGGCGCACTGCGTAAAGTACACATACAGTGTACTAGTTGTAGGTACTAATATTGATGGATAACAAACAATACCCCCAACCTTACCTAAAAATTTTGGTAAAAATGAGCTAGTGACTTTGCCGCAGTCTTCAGTGTAAATACGCAAGCTGATGATTTTAGTTTGTTTTCCAATTCTGTAAGAGAGCGCTTCAATGACGCTGTAATGTATTAAAAAATTACAAATCTAACCTTAAAATTACAAAAATTGCGAAGATTTCTCTTCGTTCTGCAAGATCGTCCGTTTGCAGATAGGCGGTATTGTTTGTTAGCCATCGACATGCGTTTCACGCCGAATGCACTGTGATTGGCGCACTGCGTGAAGTATTCCTACAGCCTTGTAGGCGCTGGTATGCGGTTCAAGCCGACTCAGCGAACCGTACTGTGTTTGGCGCCATGCGTGAAGTATTCACACGGTTTTATAGGCGCTAATATGCATTCCTAGCCGACCGAGCCGACCGTCCTGTATACGTAGCTATATGGTGGTAAAACGTGTCAAAGTGTTTCTTACAATCGAAATTTCTCGTGTTCTGTGAGTTATCAATTGCTTTATGACCAGTCAATGACTAAATTGTAATGTATATCGCACAGATTTTTAACATTGCGGATGATGATGTACCAATTGAGGGGCTTGGAGGACAAGGCGCTTAAGCGGAGTTTTTGGTATTTCGAGAAATACGTGTTTGATAAGTTTCGAAATTACATGGATCCTTATGGCGGGAAGAAAGTTCAAACTGACTTTTTGATGCCTAAAAATTGGAATTTGGGAGCGAATTATTCATAGAACGCATTAAGACAAGTTTTACTAGAAATCATTGATATCTCAATTTTTTTAAGAACTGCACTTATATGCCTTGTAATCAAGGCCCCTTAATTTTTCTTTTTCCATTAAAAAAAAAAAAAAAAAAAAAAAAAAAAAAAAATCAACCGATTATTATTGTTTCACAAGACTCAATCGATCTTCGTCGCTTTCTTTACAAATATTTATTTAAAATTTTATACAAGATCATCAGGTAACATAGTTCCAAAAACATGAAATATGAGTAAGAAATTTAAAACACAGGAATCAAGATAGTGTTTTTCTACAGTCTTACCTGTGTGAAATATGCCTAAGTACAACTTTATATCAAATACATGTATATTTAGGATAAAAAAGAATGATGACAAAATATTCAGAACGCATAGACTTAATTTTCGATCTTATTCTTGAGATTATTATTGATTTTTACTGTGGATTTTATTCTTTGAGAATTTTCATTAAGGTCAACATTTATACTGTTAATTCAGAATTCAAACCTTTATTATTTCATTTTCTTATCGAATTCAAAGTAGAAGAGGAAATAGTACCACTATATTGCACAATTCATCGGTGGTTTACATTATATATCATTGTCTCCCGCAATAGCGGTGTTTCAAAAGTACGATAAAAGAACTTATGCTGGTGTTAGTAATGCACAAGTTTCAAAACACAGTTGAGATAAAGAAAAACATAACAGACCAAAAATCAACGGAGATGTTATGGACTCCTTTTAAACTTTCGAGGAATTTTTAAAGTTTTATTTTCTAACCACATTGGTTTCGAGGAATATATAATATGCAGTAAAACTAAAAAAATTTCATGAATCTTGAACTACAATTATTAGAATTAAAATGGAATGAGCTCGTAGGAAAAGGGTCAACCCTCATTCTAATCGGTCATTCTTAAAAAATCTCAATCGCTGCAAATGAAAATACGAGAACGAGTACCGTAAAAACTGTTTTAATTTATATTCTCTAAATCTTTGGACTTAAAAATTATCGAATAAAATGCTACCAAATTAAAATCGGATTGTATAAAATTTAAGAGAAGTCCTACTATCCAAGGCGGAAAAGCAAACTGAGCATTTTTGAGATGGGTCGATTCATTTACAAACAGCTCCAGTTTAGTTCTTTTAAAGGTAGAAGTGGTGTTATTAGTATCGATTCTTCGAAGTTGGCAGCGTTGTTTTTCCTTAATATAAATCATTTGAAAATATCGAATTCAGGTGAGGCAAGCTGCCCCATCAACCTACCAGTGATGCCAACTTTCAAAATAGCCACTGGGTGTCATCAGCGTAGTGGAAACTGAGATCCAGGCTCTATTTGACGTCATTCGTCCTTCCTGGAATGTTATCAGCGCACAAATTTGAGCCTTCTTTTACGTCACTTGCAAAGTTGGGAGTGTATTACATACTTTTCTGATACGCTCGTCGTGACTTTTGAACCGTTTCCAAAGGAAATAACTCTTCTCTTTGGTCCAGCTAATATTTGCAATAGGTTCACTGCCACTGCTTCAGCAAAAGAAAATTGTGAAAAATACCGCCATAAAAAAAAAAAAAAAAAATCCGTAAAATATGTAAGTTTTCAGATATCTGAAATGAGGGGCTTGAAGGCATAGGCGCCTAAGTGCAGTTTTTGTTATTCCGAGAAACACGTGTTTAAGGTTTCGTAATTACATGGGGCCTTATAGCGGAAAGAAAGTTCAAACTGGTACTATTCGATGCTTGAAAATTTGGAATTTGAGAACAATTTTTTCGCAGAATATGGATTCAGACTTGTTTTACTTAAAATCATTAATATCTCATTTTTTTCGAAAACTACACTTATGCGCCGTGTCCTTCAAGCCCTTGTGAAATAAATTATCATTATTTTCAACAGTGTGAGATTAGAAATCGGGAACCTTAAGGTCTATATATTACAGTTACTCTATATACAATTGTATTAAATAAGTACTAAAAGTATAAAAAAGAAGGAACTTAGGATAACGTCAACAAAACGTTTGATATTCATGATTGTTACGGGTTGGACCGCCTTTGTAACCGAACCCAGACCCCGTCGAGTGGAGTGAGAAGCCCAGATCGAGGATCATAATTCAATGGTACGACTGTTTTCTCGCACGGGTGGAATGTAAAATTACTTACTAAATAGGACAGAACCGATTTCATTTCGTATTGTGCAAATCGCATACCTGTAATTGAAAAAAAAAATTATAAAATTATAAAACGATCCAAAAAATTTTTCTGAAGAGAAGAATTTCTGAATTGTCGCACAATGGGGCTCTAAACAGGGAACAAATGGATTGCATTTTGCAAAAAGGAACCAAGAGCACTCCAATGTAGCTAAGATTGTACAACATTTTTTACCTTGCAGGTATAAACTGATCATCATACGAGTGCACATTACGCTAATTATACAGCGTTTAGCAAACAGGAACCAAGCTACATCAGCTGTTGCCATTTCACCGGGCAATTTAATTTTTTCCAAGAGAACGTTTGTGTAGATTCTTTTGTGAAGAAAATTTAAAGGAAATTTCTTCCCACTATACACAAAATTCACTGAAATTTGTGCAAAAATCCGCACAACCGTTTTCATGAAAAAAATTGGATTGTCCAATTAAATCTGATGTGCCTTGGTTTCTTTATGCTTAACGCAGTCCAATTGAATGTTAAAAAGTAAATTTTAGACATTACTGATTTTCTGAGCGTATAATTTTCACGCTTTTTTACATTTGACACGTAAAGTCGGTTAGCTGTATCTTATGTGTGCAAGAGGCCGATTCCCTTGTACTTAAAAAGAAAATAGCCAATTCTATATGAAAAGCGAAAATATTTTCATTTACCGATGCATATCCTGGGCCCATCGCCATATGGTAGATAAGATCCAGGAACAATGGTATGCTTGTTTTCTTGGCTGAACCGTTCTGGGATGAACCTCTCTGGCTCCGGAAAGAACTGCGGATCATGGTGAAGGCCATAAACAGGAACGTAAACTCCAGTGCCTTCTTCTATGACGACTGATGTACCAGGCACACAAAACGCTTCATTGCACCTTCTTATTAATATCGACGCAGGTGGGTATTTCCTGAGAGTTTCTGCAAACAGAAAAAACAAAGATAAAATGTTATTGAGATGTATTACGTGGGCCTTATAATTTTCCTACAATATCGTAAGTAGGCAACACTACTTACGATTGTTCTTGGTGCTTTGTGGCATATGTTCACGTGAGGCAGGCTTATTCATCTCCCAAAAAAGTCTCGATTTTTCTTAAATGTGCTTATAGCCTCGTTTCCTATTTATTTGTTTGTAAGTTTACACCTACCTATGTAACTTCATTTAGTGAAACTTCAATTCGAAAATATTGAATTTACGAGATATCTCTCATCCGAAAATTACTCACCGGTTCGTTTATTTTGCTTTGGGAGACAGCACAGATATTCTCTAATAAATACCATATAAATAACCAAGTTTTCTCAACGAACAAGGGGGTTTGCTCAATTGAATCTACGAGTATTACTATTCAATCAGTTCTCCTCTTTGAATTGAAATCATTCGTAGAAACTTCGATACGGAGCCAGCAGTGTACTTCATTCCTTTCTCTGAATTAATTTGGCTCTTGAAGTATTCAGGAAAGGGGAACTAATATTTTTTGCATCAAATGTGACTCTCTTGGTCAGTTAAACAAATATCTGCAATTTCATACAATTAAAATTTTGAAACACGAAACTTTTCTTTGTAAGAAATTGACGGATTTAACCAGGACCAATCCAACTACATTAAGCCGTATTTTTTTCACACTCCATTCGTATAATAAAAAACTATTCTAAAGTCAGGCTTGGAATGCTTTGAGTATATCGACAAAGTAACTCCCAAACCACGTATAGGTATCTCGGTTTGCGATGTGATAGACTTTCGGTCATATTTTGTTTTTTGGATGGAAAATTTCCAAGTGTCAATTTTTCAAAACTTCCGGAATTTTTCCTCTCCGTGCGAATAAAATTGTGTCAAGGAATGATGCTGATATCTCCTCCTTCAAAAAAATAAAATGAGAGCGGAGATTTTTAAACACCGCTACGTGGTTTGGAAGTTGCACTGTCGATGTGCTTTTATATCCAGAGGATATTCACAGATAGTTTGCAGGACGTCATGACGTTTATTTCACCGTTATAAAAAGTGAAACCCGAGAGATTCGTAACTCAGTTCATCTCTACTGAGATCGTTTCATATCGTAGTAATAACATGATGTTTGAAATCAATTACCTGCCAAGACGGCGTCCATGTATTCGAGTTCTTTCATGGAATCGAAGTCCAAATTACCATCGTGAGCTTCTTTCACGGAATCTACTTCATCTTTCAGTTTCTCGCAGATTTCTGGATTCAGTGCCAGCTCATAAAGACAATAACTGAGCGTCATAGCGATCGTTTCAAATCCGGCAACGAAAAAGACAAACGCATTCGAAGCGACAACAGAGTCTGTGAACAGGATATCTGTAAACATTCAAAAAAGACTGCTCAAATTTCGTGTTTGCACAACTTGCTGACCAAGTATGATGTGCTGATGATGAGACAGGAAACAGGAAAAAATACGCTTGGCAATTGGCGCCGGTGCAAATGAACTACGCATTAGCCAGGGTATATGAATTTTGGAGGCACAAAATATGATTTCTCATCGAAATTTTTACTCGAAAATATAGAAAATGCCACACACTCGGTTTACGCTAAGTGCTTCTAGAGTTTGCGGCTATTTTTGCCCGTCATATTTTAATATGAGGTATTGAAGCAAAAATCTGATGAGTATCCATTCTATGGAAAATTTTAAAAGATTCTTACTTGAAAAAAATCGAGTTTATTTTTTAGATCATACATTAGCAGGTTTTAAGAAACCGAAAAAAACTTCGATTTTGCCAAATTTGGTGAAAACTGTGCATAAATTTTTTGGCAAAAAGTTGAAATTCTTATTTACTATCAAAGTTCCATTTGCTTACTCGATAACCCCAAGATTCTACCAACAATAGCAAGAGGACATCTTTTAGGTCTCTTTTTGCCGCTATGAGAAGATCTTATGGGGGAACCTCTATGGAGCCTATTTTCAAAAATAAGGCCTCATGGGGTCTCTGAAAATATGGCGCACATCCAACCCCTGAGGGATTTTTTTTACAAATCGTCACTCATCCGACGCAAGGGCATATCTCTATTTCTACGTAAGCCCTCAAAAGTAGGGAGTTATTTGGAGATTAGGGCTTACGTGGAAATTGGGATGCGCCCCTACGTCAAAGAAGCGACGAAATCAAGGACCTTCCAGAAAAAGGAGACGTGTACATCTATCATTCCACAATTTTAACTCTCTTTCACCCCAATAAAAATGCACATTTTCAGAAAATATTTAGAAATCCTGGACAAAATTT